TATCCGAGAAATAGTTAGTTTTCGTTCCCTATTGTCGTTCGTCTACCTATCATCCCCCTACCCCCGTCAACCCCCTGAATTTTGACTATTTACCTACTCGTAATCGTACTATTTCTCCCCAATTTTCTCCCCCCCTGTCGCTTTTGGAATTTTTCTAGTATTTTTCCCGTGCTGTGCGCTCCGTCCCGAGTGCATAGACACCACACTTGTCCCCATAGGAGCACTTTTGCGAAATAGCATCGAACCGAGCCTACCTAAGCGCTCCAAGATTCAATAATAACATATCATAGTTAAAAAATTTTTTCTGGAAATTCGCTGTTTTCTCGCTGTCCCTCGTTGTCAAAGTTGTTGTCTAGTCGCTCCATACAGTTTAATATAGTTTTTGCACCCCTCACCCCTTTCTACCCCCGTTGCAAGTAGTTTTTTGTTTTTAGAAATCTCAAAAAATTCTCTCGTAAATTGTCTTTTTTCGTCGTTTTTTCTCCTTGAAATAGTTAGTTTTCGTTCCCTATTGTCGTTCGTCTACCTATCATCCCCCCTACCCCCGTCAACCCCCTGAATTTTGACTATTTACCTACACGAAATCGTACTATTTCTCCCCAATTTTCTCCCCCCCTGTCGCTTTTGGAATTTTTCTAGTATTTTTCCCGTGCTGTGCGCTCCGTCCCGAGTGCATAGACACCACACTTGTCCCCATAGGAGCACTTTTGCGAAATAGCATCGAACCGAGCCTACCTAAGCGCTCCAAGATTCAATAATAACATATCATAGTTAAAAAATTTTTTCTGGAATTTCGCTGTTTTCTCGCTGTCCCTCGTTGTCAAAGTTGTTGTCTAGTCGCTCCGTACAGTTTAATATAGTTTTTGCACCCCTCACCCCTTTCTACCCCCCGTTGCAAGTAGTTTTTTGTTATTTAGAAATCTCAAAAATTCTCTCGTAAATTGTCTTTTTTCGTCGTTTTTTCTCGTTGAATTAGTTAGTTTTCGTTCCCTATTGTCGTTCGTCTACCTATCATCCCCCTACCCCCGTCAACCCCCTGAATTTTGACTATTTACCTACACGAAATCGTACTATTTCTCCCCAATTTTCTCCCCCCTGTCGCTTTTAGAATTTTTCTAGTATTTTTCCCGTGCTGTGCGCTCCGTCCCGAGTGCATAGACACCACACTTGTCCCCATAGGAGCACTTTTGCGAAATAGCATCGAACCGAGCCTACCTAAGCGCTCCAAGATTCAATAATAACATATCATAGTTAAAAAATTTTTTCTGGAATTTCGCTGTTTTCTCGCTGTCCCTCGTTGTCAAAGTTGTTGTCTAGTCGCTCCGTACAGTTTAATATAGTTTTTGCACCCCTCACCCCTTTCTACCCCCCGTTGAAAGTAGTTTTTTGTTATTTAGAAATCTCAAAAATTCTCTCGTAAATTGTCTTTTTTCGTCGTTTTTTCTCCTTGAATTAGTTAGTTTTCGTTCCCTGTTGTCGTTAGTCTACCTATCATCCCCCTACCCCCGTCAACCCCCTGAATTTTGACTATTTACCTACACGAAATCGTACTATTTCTCCCCAATTTTCTCCCCCCCCTGTCGCATATAGAATTTTTCTAGTATTTTTCCCGTGCTGTGCGCTCCGTCCCGAGTGCATAGACACCACACTTGTCCCCATAGGAGCACTTTTGCGAAATAGCATCGAACCGAGCCTACCTAAGCGCTCCAAGATTCAATAATAACATATCATAGTTAAAAAATTTTTTCTGGAATTTCGCTGTTTTCTCGCTGTCCCTCGTTGTCAAAGTTGTTGTCTAGTCGCTCCGTACAGTTTGATATAGTTTTTGCACCCCTCACCCCTTTCTACCCCCCGTTGAAAGTAGTTTTTTGTTATTTAGAAATCTCAAAAATTCTCTCGTAAATTGTCTTTTTTCGTCGTTTTTTCTCCTTGAATCAGTTAGTTTTCGTCCCCTCTAGTCGTTCGTCTACCTGTCACCCCCCTACCCCCGTCAACCCCCTGAATTTTGACTATTTACCTACACGAAATCGTACTATTTCTCCCCAATTTTCTCCCCCCTGTCGCTTATAGAATTTTTCTAGTATTTTTCCCGTGCTGTGCGCTCCGTCCCGAGTGCATTGACACCACACTTGTCCCCATAGGAGCACTTTTGCGAAATAGCATCGAACCGAGCCTACCTAAGCGCTCCAAGATTCAATAATAACATATCATAGTTAAAAAATTTTTTCTGGAATTTCGCTGTTTTCTCGCTGTCCCTCGTTGTCAAAGTTGTTGTCTAGTCGCTCCGTACAGTTTAATATAGTTTTTGCACCCCTCACCCCTTTCTACCCCCCGTTGCAAGTAGTTTTTTGTTATTTAGAAATCTCAAAAATTCTCTCGTAAATTGTCTTTTTTCGTCGTTTTTTCTCCTGAATTAGTTAGTTTTCGTTCCCTGTTGTCGTTCGTCTATATATCCCCCCTACCCCCGTCAACCCCCTGAATTTTGACTATTTACCTACACGAAATCGTACTATTTCTCCCCAATTTTCTCCCCCCCTGTCGCATATAGAATTTTTCTAGTATTTTTCCCGTGCTGTGCGCTCCGTCCCGAGTGCATTGACACCACACTTGTCCCCATAGGAGCACTTTTGCGAAATAGCATCGAACCGAGCCTACCTAAGCGCTCCAAGATTCAATAATAACATATCATAGTTAAAAAATTTTTTCTGGAATTTCGCTGTTTTCTCGCTGTCCCTCGTTGTCAAAGTTGTTGTCTAGTCGCTCCGTACAGTTTAATATAGTTTTTGCACCCCTCACCCCTTTCTACCCCCCGTTGAAAGTAGTTTTTTGTTATTTAGAAATCTCAAAAATTCTCTCGTAAATTGTCTTTTTTCGTCGTTTTTTCTTCTTGAATTAGTTAGTTTTCGTTCCCTGTTGTCGTTAGTCTACATATCATCCCCCTACCCCCGTCAACCCCCTGAATTTTGACTATTTACCTACACGAAATCGTACTATTTCTCCCCAATTTTCTCCCCCCTGTCGCATATAGAATTTTTCTAGTATTTTTCCCGTGCTGTGCGCTCCGTCCCGAGTGCATTGACACCACACTTGTCCCCATAGGAGCACTTTTGCGAAATAGCATCGAACCGAGCCTACCTAAGCGCTCCAAGATTCAATAATAACATATCATAGTTAAAAAATTTTTTCTGGAATTTCGCTGTTTTCTCGCTGTCCCTCGTTGTCAAAGTTGTTGTCTAGTCGCTCCCTGCAGTTTAAAATAGTTTTTGCACCCCTCACCCCTTTCTACCCCCCGTTGAAAGTAGTTTTTTGTTATTTAGAAATCTCAAAAATTCTCTCGTAAATTGTCTTTTTTCGTCGTTTTTTCTCCTTGAATTAGTTAGTTTTCGTTCCCTGTTGTCGTTAGTCTACATATCATCCCCCTACCCCCGTCAACCCCCTGAATTTTGACCATATACCTACACGAAATCGTACTATTTCTCCCCAATTTTCTCCCCCCTGTCGCTTATAGAATGTTTCTAGTATTTTTCCCGTGCTGTGCGCTCCGTCCCGAGTGCATTGACACCACACTTGTCCCCATAGGAGCACTTTTGCGAAATAGCATCGAACCGAGCCTACCTAAGCGCTCCAAGATTCAATAATAACATATCATAGTTAAAAAATTTTTTCTGGAATTTCGCTGTTTTCTCGCTGTCCCTCGTTGTCAAAGTTGTTGTCTAGTCGCTCCATACAGTTTAATATAGTTTTTGCACCCCTCACCCCTTTCTACCCCCGTTGCAAGTAGTTTTTTGTTATTTAGAAATCTCTCAAAAATTCTCTCGTAAATTGTCTTTTTTCGTCGTTTTTTCTCCTCGAATTAGTTAGTTTTCGTTCCCTGTTGTCGTTAGTCTACATATCATCCCCCTACCCCCGTCAACCCCCTGAATTTTGACTATTTACCTACACGAAATCGTACTATTTCTCCCCAATTTTCTCCCCCCCTGTCGCATATAGAATTTTTCTAGTATTTTTCCCGTGCTGTGCGCTCCGTCCCGAGTGCATTGACACCACACTTGTCCCCATAGGAGCACTTTTGCGAAATAGCATCGAACCGAGCCTACCTAAGCGCTCCAAGATTCAATAATAACATATCATAGTTAAAAAATTTTTTCTGGAATTTCGCTGTTTTCTCGCTGTCCCTCGTTGTCAAAGTTGTTGTCTAGTCGCTCCCTGCAGTTTAATATAGTTTTTGCACCCCTCACCCCTTTCTACCCCCCGTTGCAAGTAGTTTTTTGTTATTTAGAAATCTCAAAAATTCTCTCGTAAATTGTCTTTTTTCGTCGTTTTTTCTCCTTGAATTAGTTAGTTTTCGTTCCCTGTTGTCGTTAGTCTACCTATCATCCCCCTACCCCCGTCAACCCCCTGAATTTTGACTATTTACCTACACGAAATCGTACTATTTCTCCCCAATTTTCTCCCCCCCTGTCGCATATAGAATTTTTCTAGTATTTTTCCCGTGCTGTGCGCTCCGTCCCGAGTGCATTGACACCACACTTGTCCATATCATAGTTAAAAAATTTTTTCTGGAATTTCGCTGTTTTCTCGCTGTCCCTCGTTGTCAAAGTTGTTTTGCGAAAAATTTGCCCGCCCACCCGCCCTACCCCCGTTGCAAGTATTTTTCGTAAATTGTCTTTTTTCGTATAAGGTGGAAATTTTCGAGACTATCAAAAATTTTTATATTTCTCAATTTTCTTTCGCTTTTGGAATTTTTCTAGTATTTTTCCCGTGCTGTTCCGTCCCGAGTGCATAGACAACTTGTCCCCATAGGAGCACTTTTGCGAAAAATTTGCCCGCCCACCCGCCCATTTTTCTCACTGTATAAGGTGGAAATTTTCGAGACAAAAAATTTTTATTTTCTTTTTCGTTCTTTTTCGTTCTGGAATTGATAGTGCTGCCTCTCAGCAGCCCCCCCCCCGTCAACTTCTTACTCACCTTTGCTTCCCCAGTTAGCGTAAAACTTGAAAATGATCCTAGCACGGTCACCGGTCAGGCGACCCGTCAACTTGCCGTCGGAGTCAGCCGAGGCTCGCAAGGCTGATTCTGCGGCCCCTCAGGCTTCCCCCCCTTCTTCAGGTACCTCATCCACTGATTTTCTCCCAACGTGGAGACCAATAACAGACTCAAACTCCGCCAGCCTCAGCCGCCACGACAGTGTTTTTGATGATAGTTCAGCAGCTATCTCGTTACCTCTCTCACAAAGTACTCAGTCGAATGTTGTAGTAGAAGGAACTGACTGCTCGGAACGCGTGCAAACTCTGGCATTGGGCATTGTCAGAATCCTAAGACAGGCCAAGTCTGTCACTGCGGATATGAGAAACAGAGCCATCGACTCGGCAAATCAAATTGCTTGGATAGCCGGTAACTCCATGGCCCGCCGCATAAAGGAGATCGAGACAGAGTCCGCTGCACATAAACAGGAGCTCACGTCTGTACGCAGCGAGCTCAGTGAAATTAAGGCCCTCATTGAGAGAAACAAATCGGATAAAATCTATAGTGACGGACAGACAGATCTAAACTCACTCACAGCTACAGCTCTTGACCCAATAATGCAGGAGATTCGCAATCTAAGGGCAGAGCTGACTAAGCGGGAAGAAGCCTGCTCCGCAATGCACGTCACTAAAGAGCAATTGGACAGGATTCTCGATGATAAGATAGAAGCCATAAAAGCCGATATCTCCACAGCGAAAACTGCCATCTTAGATATGAAAGAGGCTAGACATGAGGAAGTCATGGCAATAATGCACGAACAAGGCACTGCCCTTGACACCGAAGTTGCTCTCAATGAAATCAAGGAGCAAATTAAAGAAGTCCAGACTAAAATACAAGAAAACGCTAAGGCGACCAGTGCAGTTGTGAACGGACCAAATGCTAAGAAGCCGAATGATCCGTCAACTGCAACTGTAGCACCTATCGTAGAACCCAAATCAGGCAATCAGAGTAACAAAAATAAACCGCGCCGTCCTAGCAGTTATGCTGAAGCCTTGAGCAAGCCGAATTACGCGGTCTTAATTGAATCGGCCGATCCCAGGAAAACGTCTGATGACGTTATAAACCAAGTAAAACAGAACGTTAACGTCATCGATTTAGGCATTGGCGTAAGCAGAGTAACCAAGATCAGGAACCAAAAGGTTGTGATGGCATGCGGGTCCCAAGAAGAACGCAAAGCCCTTCAGGAGGCGATACGCCAAAAATGCACACAGATCTCTGCTAGAAGCACAAGGGATAGACTCCCACAAATTAGGCTTGTCGGAGTTGTAAATAGCCTCACAGATGAACAGATTGAGAAGGCGGTCATCAGCCAAAATCGACATCTGCTTGGCTCCCTTCCTCCCAATTCGCAGGTCAGGACACTACGTAGGACCAAAGGTAGAACACAGGAAGTCAAGAACGTGATTCTGGAAGTATCGCCTCCGATATGGAAAGCTGTTCAAGGGCAAAAGCTTCACATCGGCCTGCAACTGGTGCCTGCAGTCGATCAGTCGCCTCTGACCCAGTGCTACAAATGCATGGGATATAATCACAGGGCGGCTGAATGTAATGAACAGATTAGATGTGGGCATTGTGCCCAAGAGCATGATACCAGAGTGTGTCCAAATAGGAACTTGACCCCTCAGTGCTGTAACTGCAAAAAGGCAAAGAGAGACCTTGAGCCACATCCAGCATACAGCCAAGACTGCCCCGACTGGCAGAAATGGGATGGAATAGCAAGGGCCGCTGTTCTATACTGCTAAGGGCGTCGATACAGTCAGGGTAACAAATGCCCAAAACGCACAGGAGAAACTCAAGATAGTACAAATTAACCTTGGGAGGGGACATTCCGCCACACAAGAATGCCTGAGAGAAGCCAGTCAGAAAGGTTACTCAGTCTTGCTGCTTCAAGAGCCTTACGTTGGCTCCAAAGGGTACTTAAGTGTTGGTAGTAACAGTCGAGTCATACAAAAGCTACATAACAGAAGCCACCCGGTAAGGGCAGCCATTGTCATACTAAACCCAATTATACGTGTAATCGAAAGTCAAGATTGGATTACAGAGGACATGGTTGGATTAAAAATCATCGTTGGCAATGAAACGTATACTTTTGTTAATGTTTACCTAGATAAGACGCACAACATTGAACAAACCATGAACACTCTTCGTAAAATTGTTGACTCGACTGGAACTGCCAACCTTCTCATTGCGGGTGACGCCAACGCCAAAAGTCAGTGGTGGGGATGTGATACCGAGGACGAACGAGGCAGCAAAATAATGGACACTTTTGCAGAGCTTGGGATGGAAGTCCTCAATCAAGGGTCGCAGCCGACATTTCTGGTGTATCGACAAGGACAACCATGCCAAAGCATCATTGATATTACGGCTTGCTCGTCACAGATCCTCAACATAATTACAGACTGGCGAATAAACCCAAGCCTCTGTTCGTTATCGGATCACATCCCGATTACCTTTAACCTTAAAGTCACTACAAACCTTGATACACACTCTGGTTCGTCCACACGGGTATTCTTTACTGCAAAAGCCGACTGGAACAAATTTGAAGAAACACTTATTAATAACCTCCAACAACAGAATATCAACACTGAAACAATATCGAACACAAAAAACACTACTGATCTTGAAAATTTAGTACAGAAATTTCATGACGCTCTAACCGGTGCTTGCAACGACTCGATTCCCAAGCTACATAGTAAAAAATCTACAAATACTGCAAAGTGGTGGACTTCAGACCTCTCTAACTTAAAAGCAGAACTTAAGAGAAGCAGAAACAGAATAAAGAAGGCCAACGCCAATGCTAGAAGCTTTGTAGTAGAGGAATACCTAAGGAAAAAAGAACAATATAAGAAGGAGATACAGCAAGCGATCACAAAAAGCTGGAAAGAATTCTGTACGGGTGAAGAAAGAGAAACGGTCTGGCAAAGATCCTACAGAATCATAAAACACTCCAGCAAAGATGTCCGCGAAAAACTGTTAACAGACAATAACGTCACCACACTCTCGGCGGATGAGTCTGCAGCCCTCCTAGCCAACACCTTTTTTCCAGAAGACGATCCCACAAAAGACAATCACGAACATACTCAAATCAGGCAAAAATCAATAGAAATCTCTTCAAAGAATCTTCCCATCGACAGGCAAATTGATCTTTTTACGGAACAGGAGTTACGCTCAGCACTGCAGCATGCCAACTCTAAAAAAGCTCCAGGTTCGGACGCATTCACTGCAGATATTTGCCAAAAAGCTTTTAAGACATGCCCAGAAGTATTGTTAGCGATCTATAACCGGTGCCTTCTCCTGAGTTACTTCCCTGAAGTATGGAAGGAGGCCCATATAAAGGTTATACCTAAACCTGGCAAGGAAGACTACAGCATTCCTAAGTCATATCGACCCATAGGCCTTCTTTCACTATTAGGGAAGACCCTAGAGAAAATGATTGTGAAGAGACTACAGTGGGACCTTATTGGTCGGGGCTCTTTACACCCCAACCAGTACGGCTTCCTTCCACAAAGAAGTACAGAGGACGCACTATACGACTCACTGAGCATAGTTAAAAATGCCATAAAATCTAAACAACTGGCAGTTATCGTCTCCCTCGATATTCAAGGAGCCTTTGACACCGCTTGGTGGCCCACTATTATTACACAGCTGGATACCATGGGAATCGACAAGGACTTATTACAACTGATAACCTCTTATTTGTCGGATAGGAAAATAACTATCAATTACTCTGGTGCAACAGTTAACAAGAAAACTAATAGGGGCTGTATCCAAGGATCGGTCTGTGGACCGATTCTCTGGAACGTTCAATTGAATCAGGCACTTGAACCCTCCCAATATGACGGAGTACACATACAAGCCTTTGCAGATGACATACTCCTCATAGCCCAGGGTAGCACTGGAGAGGAGGTGGAGAGAAACTTGAACCAAGCGCTTTCAAAGATACTTCAATGGGGCAACAAGCTTAAGCTCAAATTTGCCCCACACAAAACGCAAGCAGTTCTCTTCACCAAGAAACTCAAGTATCATACTCCTAGGCTCGTGATGGACGGAACATCTATTGAACTGCGGGATGAAGTTAAGGTTCTCGGTTTAACCATAGACCGGAACCTTAACTTCAATTCTCACATTCGCGCTGTCTCTGCAAAGGCTTTAAACATATATAAATCAGTGTCTAAGATGGCCAGGGCTCAATGGGGCCTGAATCCCGGTGTCCTCAAGTTAATTTATCAATCAGTTGTAGAACCGACCATCCTTTATGCCGCCAGTTGCTGGGCCCATACCACCTCGAATCACAATGTTGGGAAAATTCTTGACAGAGTCACCAGGCTCTTCGCAATCAAAATATGTAAAGGACATAGAACTACCTCGTTCTCTGCCAGCGTGGTGCTTGCGGGGATTCTTCCCCTCAAAATTAAAGCGATCGAACAGGCCGAGTTGTACTTAATTAAGAGGGGAGAACCCTTGAGAGCGCTGCCTGGCAGAGAATTTGAAAGTCGCACACCGGTCTCCTTACTACCACATCCAACCAATAGAAATACAGTTCCTTTTAAAATCATAAGCAGTCAAACCGAACTAGATGAGGTTATAGATAATAACTGGCCGAGGTTCTATACTGATGGCAGCAAGATAGAGGGTAAAGTCGGCGGTTCTGTCACATGTTGGATCGATGGTAAAGAAGTCTACTCAACCAGCTTCCGCCTGGAAGATTTTTGCTCCGTCTTCCAGGCGGAATTAGCAGCCATACTGAAAGCCATCGAGACAATGTGCAATAAGTCGAGATTCCATACTGCAAACATCTTGAGTGACTCGAGATCAGCTTTAGAGAGTATTGCAGATCCATGTCCACTCCACCCCCTCACCACGAAGATCCGGCAAAAAATTCAGAATCTCCAACAATGCAGTGGAAAAGTATGCTTCTATTGGGTGAAAGCTCATACAGGAATAATTGGCAATGAGCGCGCGGACGACCTCGCCAAGACAGCGGCTCTGAAAAAGAAGACAAGGCCCATATATGATCGGTTTCCTCTAACGTACGCCAAAAAGGTATTAAGGGAAAAATCACTAGATAAGTGCCAAAAATTATATATAGAATCCAACACAGCAGCCGTAACAAAAATATTCTTACCAGATATTCGAAAAGCATATAAGATAGTAAAGGAAATAGAAATAGATAATACAATAACTCACCTTCTCACCGGACATGGAGGAAACCGATCATATCTTCACAGGTTTAAACTTATAGATAGCCCCAGCTGCCAATGTGACAGTGAAACCCCGCAAACCATACAGCATATACTTTTCGACTGCCAAAGATTCGCTAAAAAACGGTTTGACTACGAGTTCAAATTGGATGCAACACTGTCTGAAAGCAATATGGAATACATATTTGAAAATAAAGAAACCAGGGATATATTCCTTAACTTCGCAAAGTCTCTGCTGAGGGTCGTGGCAAGAGAGAATGGAGCAAGAATAGTTGATTAAGACGATAAAGGTTTATACACAGTTATATACATGGTCTACAATTTTATATTTACATAGTTTTACAATTTTATATACACAAAATTTATACATTGGGAAAAAAAAAAAAAAAAAAAAAAAAAAAAAAAAAAAAAAAAAAAAAAAAAAAAATCCTCAGTCTATACACAGTTATGACATATACAGATAAGAAGGTTGTCGCAAGAAAAATAGCGACAGAAAACACCCGAACCGAACCGAACCGAACCGAACCGAACCGAACCGAACCGAACCGAACCGAACCGAACCGAACCGAACCGAACCGAACCGAACCGAACCGAACCGAACCGAACCGAACCGAACCGAACCGAACCGAACCGAACCGAACCGAACCGAACCGAACCGAACCGAACCGAACCGAACCGAACCGAACCGAACCGAACCGAACCGAACCGAACCGAACCGAACCGAACCGAACCGAACCGAACCGAACCGAACCGAACCGAACCGAACCGAACCGAACCGAACCGAACCGAACCGAACCGAACCGAACCGAACCGAACCGAACCGAACCGAACCGAACCGAACCGAACCGAACCGAACCGAACCGAACCGAACCGAACCGAACCGAACCGAACCGAACCGAACCGAACCGAACCGAACCGAACCGAACCGAACCGAACCGAACCGAACCGAACCGAACCGAACCGAACCGAACCGAACCGAACCGAACCGAACCGAACCGAACCGAACCGAACCGAACCGAACCGAACCGAACCGAACCGAACCGAACCGAACCGAACCGAACCGAACCGAACCGAACCGAACCGAACCGAACCGAACCGAACCGAACCGAACCGAACCGAACCGAACCGAACCGAACCGAACCGAACCGAACCGAACCGAACCGAACCGAACCGAACCGAACCGAACCGAACCGAACCGAACCGAACCGAACCGAACCGAACCGAACCGAACCGAACCGAACCGAACCGAACCGAACCGAACCGAACCGAACCGAACCGAACCGAACCGAACCGAACCGAACCGAACCGAACCGAACCGAACCGAACCGAACCGAACCGAACCGAACCGAACCGAACCGAACCGAACCGAACCGAACCGAACCGAACCGAACCGAACCGAACCGAACCGAACCGAACCGAACCGAACCGAACCGAACCGAACCGAACCGAACCGAACCGAACCGAACCGAACCGAACCGAACCGAACCGAACCGAACCGAACCGAACCGAACCGAACCGAACCGAACCGAACCGAACCGAACCGAACCGAACCGAACCGAACCGAACCGAACCGAACCGAACCGAACCGAACCGAACCGAACCGAACCGAACCGAACCGAACCGAACCGAACCGAACCGAACCGAACCGAACCGAACCGAACCGAACCGAACCGAACCGAACCGAACCGAACCGAACCGAACCGAACCGAACCGAACCGAACCGAACCGAACCGAACCGAACCGAACCGAACCGAACCGAACCGAACCGAACCGAACCGAACCGAACCGAACCGAACCGAACCGAACCGAACCGAACCGAACCGAACCGAACCGAACCGAACCGAACCGAACCGAACCGAACCGAACCGAACCGAACCGAACCGAACCGAACCGCACCGAACCGAACCGAACCGAACCGAACCCGAACCGAACCGAACCGAACCGAACCGAACCGAACCGAACCGAACCGAACCGAACCGAACCGAACCGAACCGAACCGAACCGAACCGAACCGAACAGAACCGAACCGAACCGAACCGACAGAACCGAACCGAACCGAACCGAACCGAACCGAACCGAACCGAACCGAACCGAACCGAACCGAACCGAACCGAACCGAACCGAACCGAACCGAACCGAACCGAACCGAACCGAACCGAACCGAACCGAACCGAACCGAACCGAACCGAACCGAACCGAACCGAACCGAACCGAACCGACCCGAACCGAACCGAACCGAACCGAACCGAACCGAACCGAACCGAACCGAACCGAACCGAACCGAACCGAACCGAACCGAACCGAACCGAACCGAACCGAACCGAACCGAACCGAACCGAACCGAACCGAACCGAACCGAACCGAACCGAACCGAACCGAACCGAACCGAACCGAACCGAACCGAACCGAACCGAACCGAACCGAACCTGAACCGAACCGAACCGAACCGAACCGAACCGAACCGAACCGAACCGAACCGAACCGAACCGAACCGAACCGAACCGAACCGAACCGAACCGAACCGAACCGAACCGAACCGAACCGAACCGAACCGAACCGAACCGAACCGAACCGAACCGAACCGAACCGAACCGAACCGAACCGAACCGAACCGAACCGAACCGAACCGAACCGAACCGAACCGAACCGAACCGAACCGAACGAACCGAACCGAACCGAACCGAACCGAACCGAACCGAACCGAACCGAACCGAACCGAACCGAACCGAACCGAACCGAACCGAACCGAACCGAACCGAACCGAACCGAACCGAACCGAACCGAACCGAACCGAACCGAACCGAACCGAACCGAACCGAACCGAACCGAACCGAACCGAACCGAACCGAACCGAACCGAACCGAACCGAACCGAACCGAACCGAACCGAACCGAACCGAACCGAACCGAACCGAACCGAACCGAACCGAACCGAACCGAACCGAACCGAACCGAACCGAACCGAACCGAACCGAACCGAACCGAACCGAACCGAACCGAACCGAACCGAACCGAACCGAACCGAACCGAACCGAACCGAACCGAACCGAACCGAACCGAACCGAACCGAACCGAACCGAACCGAACCGAACCGAACCGAACCGAACCGAACCGAACCGAACCGAACCGAACCGAACCGAACCGAACCGAACCGAACCGAACCGAACCGAACCGAACCGAACCGAACCGAACCGAACCGAACCGAACCGAACCGAACCGAACCGAACCGAACCGAACCGAACCGAACCGAACCGAACCGAACCGAACCGAACCGAACCGAACCGAACCGAACCGAACCGAACCGAACCGAACCGAACCGAACCGAACCGAACCGAACCGAACCGAACCGAACCGAACCGAACCGAACCGAACCGAACCGAACCGAACCGAACCGAACCGAACCGAACCGAACCGAACCGAACCGAACCGAACCGAACCGAACCGAACCGAACCGAACCGAACCGAACCGAACCGAACCGAACCGAACCGAACCGAACCATCCAGACTACATATCCCGATTGAGTCAGAGAAAATTATAGCGACTTCTAAACTTTCAGTAGCGACATCTTGTAGCTGTTGGTGACATTGTGGCGACCACTAAATAATATATAAATACATAACGTGTAAATAACATATAATGAATATCACACATAATTATAAAAGTCATCAGATATAAACGACCCATACCTACACGATGCGCGCGGAGCTCCGGCTACAAAACCGGTTTGCGCCAACGCCTATTCTTACCTGGCCGACCGACTCCCCGCACCAGTTTGAGACACGGCGCAACACCAAACGCCACGCTGCCCGCTGTTGCTCTATTTACACGAGTTGTCAATACTGTATGATATTAAATAAAGTAGTGTTATGACCATACCCGAGTCGTAATTATTTTCGACGTATAGGAACCAACCTAGTACCAACTATATAACTACAACACTATTACTTTATGTGCGTCATCTTGTGCCCAATAGTGGTACTATTACTTTCAGTGTCGACGTCTTATGGCCAGCGGTAGCACTAATTACCATTAGGTCACAGGACGGTGTCTTGCTTAGAATATTGAATGTATTGAATTATATTCAATATTCTGAATACGACCATATTCTCTTTAATATTACTGATTCGGCCATATTCTCACACAAAATACAACCATTGATTAATCATTATACATTTCCACTCACGAGAGATGCTATAATAGTATTTAAGGATCTAAAATTTGAGATAGCCAAATCTACGATTGCTACTATAGACAGTAGCATACAAATGACAGTAGAAACTGATGCTTCAGACTATGTAATTGCTGCTACATTTTCGCAAGAAGTTTGGCCTGTAGCTTTCTACCCCACCCCGCTATTGAAAAAAAAAAAAAAAAAAAAAAAAAAAAAAAAAAAAAAAAAAAATGTCGAAAGTTTAAGAAAATGGAGGCAATTTCTTATAGGACGAACATTCACGTTTATCACAGATCAACGTTTTATATCTTTCATGTTTAATCAGAAACATGTGTAAAAAAAAAAAAAAATTGAATATTAAAAAAAAAAAAAAAAAAAAAAAAAAAATTATCTATTATACTAAGCGGTTCACCTCGCAAATATTACTTTAAGTAAATTAGTTTTGTATATTATTTAGATTATGGTCGCTATCAATGAGAGCTGTAAAGATTTCAATAAACGGCACGTAGTCGGCCAGATCCTTTCTATCAAATACCTTTATTACAATGGGCGGAAACTTCGAACCAGCAAGAACAAGCTCATCTAGCTTGTTGATAGAAGAGTCTTGATGATGGTGCGCTGATTTAAAGCAGCACACAGTTAAAAATAGCGTTCTTCCATTTGGGCTTCATCCTCGTCGTCGCTTGGATCGTAATACATGATGTCCGCATTGATGGCGGTGTATTTTTTATAAGCATCCTCAAGAGCCCCCTTACGGAGCCGTAGCGATTCAGCGTCAGCAACCCCTGATGAGAGAAAAGTCTCCAACCGTGTAATGGTCGCCTTACAGCGACCGCGTTCGAAGCGAAGTCTCTTGAGGTCAACTGATTGTTGCACTGTTTCACCACTTGGATTACTCATTTTGTTCATAAGTGGGTTTCGGCACCAAAAATGTTAGTGTTCTAGCTGTATTTTGCTTTTATTTATAATATTTTAAATATTTTAAATTTTATGAAATAAAAGAAGACTTACTACTTTAATACCAAATAGTTTTCATGTGTTAACAACTTTGATAAAAGCATTTATGCCATTTGAAAGAATCTCAATGAATTTTAAAGGGCCTTTACCTAGTAGAACACAAAATAAATATCTATTAACCATAGTAGATGAATATTCTCGGTTCCCATTTGCCTTTCCGTGTCCGGATATATGAGTACTGAAACAGTTAAAAGGAAATTAACTGAATTGTTCGCTATATTTGGAGTACCTACTTTTATACACTCAGATCGAGGAACATCTTTTATTTCATCGGAATTAAAGGACTTTTTGAGTGGTTTAGGAGTAGCTACTAGTTATTCATCACCATATAATCCTTGTGGAAATGGACAAACAGAGCGTTGTAATGGAATTATTTGGAAAACTATTTAACTTTCACTTCTTTCTATTAAATTGCCTATAAATGCATGGGAATCGGTTACTTCTCAAGCATTGCATAGTATTCGCTCATTACTATGTACGAGCACTGATTGCACGCCCCATGAAAGGATATTTTTACACCCCCGTAGGTCATCCAATGGTCAGTAAACCCCCACATGGTTAACGGATGGCCAGATTGTGTTCATGAAAAATATGGTAAGAAGAAGTAAATATGATCCCTTAGTTGTAGAATTAGAAGTAGTTAATGTAAATCCACTTTATTCTCAAGTCCGTCTGCAGAATGGTCGGGAAACTACGGTTTCCAACAGACATTTGGCTCCAACTAATCTTCCGTTGTTAACTGAACCTGAAAGAGACCAGGCTCAAGAAGAAATACATCCTGTTGAACATTCTCCTACTGAGACGGAGGTATCTGTTCGACACTCTGTCAGGGATCGTCGGCCACCTGCTTGGCTTCAAGATTATCACACAGAATTTTAAGACCTAGAGGTGAATGTCGTGATGCCATTAAATATTAGGAGAATGTTTTAGTTATTAATTGTCATAGATTTTATATGTCAAACAACTATGGAAGATTTTCAGTTTATTAAAGACTTAAATTTTAGCGAATTATACTTTCATTCTTATTAATTACCTAATATGAATATTACATGCATATTACTGCTTGTCGGTTTTGCGTGTTTTTTCGTTTTAAGTATCTATACAGGCATGACATATTTATTGCAATCATAGTCAAAGATACCTGGCGCTATATTAATATTTATATCTCCCATTATATTTTGAAAGTATTTAGAAGTTCGTTCAGTGATTTTATGAATTTCGTAATATCGTTTTTAAAACAGTGGGATTGATATATAGTGATAAAAAAAAAAGAAAAATTAATTTACAATTTTTATTTTATCATTGCTTCTATGTAATTTCTTGTTCTTTCTACTATCTTAAATTTATGCCACCAACTATATCGACATTGACACATGTCATGTAACGGCACAAGACTCTAATCTGTGCATTATACATAATTTCTCTAATCTGTGGTGTGTACTTAATTTGTTTATTTATTTAATTTTGGAACTTTATATTGTAATATTTTCTGTTTTAATATCTATTAGTATTCTCAGCATTCTAGAAGAATAGATGTATTGATTTGCTTTAGACTTTCTAATCTGTGATCTGCACGTACATCAGAACACGGAGTAATTAATAGTTTAAAAGGAAATAATCAAATGATTTTTCAGTTGTCCATAAGACAGAAAAAGACAATTTTATAAGTTTTGTGGTCTTCTATTTGTATAAACGTGTGAGTTCTGAAGATTGTAAACTTGTTACAAAAAAATAGGTACACCTGTAATTTTGCCCTACGAACGGAGTAAATATATAGTGCAAAATTACTAACCGCGTAACCTGTAATTTTCATTAGTATTTTAAAGTATTTTAATATTATATGGTATAGCGTGGACAGGGTATGCCACCCTATTTTTCTAGTATATGTATTGCCGAAACAAGTATGGGTGGCATGATTGATATCCATATAAGTGTTTTTTTTTTTTTAAATAGTGACAATGAAATGGTCACCCACCTGCGCTACGGTATATGCTGGGTACCATTGAGAGATATTAGACGAGAATGAAAGCAGATCAGTTAGCCTATCGTGACAAATTCAAATACTAACCATGTTAGTTTCTAGAAGGAACCACATGGAAGTCGACCTGATATATAATACTGATATATGATACCTTCTTTAAGGTCCAATCAATAGTGTATAAATTTTATCCCATTTCACAAGTGGTGGCCCCGCTGAAAATCAGCACTACAGCACCGTGCTGCTAAGCTGAGTGGGGACCATTACAGCTGCTACCATGAAATTATTATTTTTAATGTATAAATGTAGCTGAATAAATGTATTATTATTATATGGTATATTGCTGCTAGCAATGGCTATGTTATACCCCATTAACTAATAAACCTTTTCTCAATATCTATTTATTATAAAATCCATTCATAGCAATTACGGATTTACAATATTTAATATGTTCCTTGTTAAGTAGTATTCATGACGCTCAAAGTATGTATGAGAATACATATCGTCATAGTCGTAGAATACTGACGGATCTGACAAAGATTACATATAAAGATTCATCAGTATTCTATGACTATGATGATATGTGTAGGTATGTATTATAGTGTTAGTAACTTTTTTTTTAGATCATGGCAACTTTTCTTTTTTTCCATCATTATGTACCATTTTCTAGAATGTAAATATGACAAAATTAATATAGAACTGATTTAAATTTTGTTTTATTTAAATCAGAAATAACTGACAGTAATTTTAGCTGAGACCAAGATTGAATACAGCTTTGAGGGAGTCATCTATATTTGTGTGCAGTGCAGTAAGGGAATTGTTTGTTTATTAACAAGTTTAATAATTATTAATTTGGCACTGCACATACTAGGTCAATGTGTTGCCTCACTATTTTTATCTTAATTTCCTATATTTGTATTTAGTAAATAAGATCATTTTTATCTGTTAATATTGTCAGTTGCAAGTCAGTTAAAATATATGAATCTACCAACTTTGTCATGTTAATTACACCTGCAACAGCTTTTAATAATGAAGCAATTTCCAGGCAAATCAGTTTTGGATCATACAGTAAAAGTCTTTCGACTATAGTTTTAATACGCTCAAAACTAATCACAGAGCGTGTGGACAAGACACCGCAATGAACGGGCCGGAGACGGACGGCGCGGCGGTGGACGCCGCCGGCGGCGACACGCTGACGGCTGCGCAGCGCGCGCGCTGTGAGCGGCAGCGGCTGCGGGCGCGCGCGCTGCGGGACGCTCGCCTGCCGCAGCGGCCCGGCGGCGGCGGCGGCGGCGGCGGCGGCGGCGGCGGCGGCGGCGGCGGCGCGGCGGCCGGCGGCGGCGCGCTCGCGGGCCTCGACTCGGGCGGCGGCTTCCTGCTCGACGGCGCCGAGCCAGCGCCGCGCTTGCGCGCGCCGCCCGCGCCGCTCGTGCACGCCTCCGAGCAGCCGCACTGTCTGCTCTGCGACCGGCCCTTCCCCCAGTCCTTCCTCTTCGACTCGTTCGACTACCACGTCTGCGACGCTTGCAGGTCGGTATCGACGCGGGTCCGCGGCGGGCCGCGCGGCCGTCGAGGATCGGTCATGAACCCGGACCTCCTTCCCCAGGGACGACGAGGATGCGCACGCGCTGATCCCGCGCACCGAGGCCAAGAGCGAGTTTCTCCTGAAGGACTGCGACCTGGACGCGCGGCCGCCGCCGCTGCGCTGCGTGCGGCGCCGCAACCCGCACCGGCCCGGCCACGGCGAGATGCGGCTGTACCTGCGCGCGCAGGTGGAGGAGCGCGCGCTGGCCGTGTGGGGGTCGGCCGAGCGGCTGCACGAGGAGCGCGAGCGGCGGCGCGAGGCGCGCGAGCTGCTGCAGCGGCGGCGCGCGCAGCGCCACCTGCGGCAGCTGCGCATGGACGTGCGCTCGAGCCTGTACGACCGCTCGCACGCCGCGCACCAGCACCGCTACGGGCCCGAGCGGCCCGCCGCCGACGACGACGACGCGTACGAGCGCGCCTGCCTCGACTGCGGCCACGTGCAGACCTATGAGAAGATGTAGCTCCGGCGGCGCTTCTACGGTCCACCGTTGTGCAGCGCGACAAGTACAAGAGCGATATATAAGTTACAAATACGGAGCGTGCTAGACAAACTACAAGTTCGCTGTCGCGTTACTCGTGCGATTTAGGTAGTCTGGTAAAACGTAGGCACCGATGCTGTGTATGTATCCCCACGTTGCCTAATCGCTGCGAAGGAATATGAGATATCTGTACGTCATGGTGACTCTCTGTCGGTGTCTTTGATCTATTTACTTGAAACTCCTGTGATATGATACTACATAATATTAGTTTTAAGCAACATTTTCCAAACATTGTTTTATAGTAATTGTCGGCCTGCACTATATTTAATATGAATAACAGATGGATTTAATCATATTTAGAATAATTGTTTTTAATTCTTAGAGAAATTTGCACCTAATACTACTACTAAGGCTAATAACATATGCTAGTAATATAGGTAACTAAACCAAACATTGATCGATGAAATTGAAACGGGAAGATCGAGACTTTCTATATGTATAAATTATTATTTAAATTTGCTATTTTCTAAATTATTGAAAATATTTTTCCAAATCTAAATAAATAAATTTCGATAAAAACGCCTCCAATGGTCAAGGGCAGTAAGTTCGCGATGTCTGTCGATACTGTCCCGCTTCAATAATCGACACTACACACGCACACGGGTTCATATTGTGATAGAGCTACTTACATTTTAGTTATGTTGAAAAAAAACCTACATTCCTAGTGAGTAACATAGATTGTATTTATTTTGAATAAAACTTGCGAAACCACGACGAACCATTAGTTTGTAATATTCTAGCACAGAAAGAACCGTGCCCCGGATAGTATGGGTTCTGGGCCATGACGAGTCCCGAAGCAGCTTATATATCATTAGATCGTGCATCACCTCTATCCATAGAATATATCGTTCTTATGAGCGTATTGGGTGGGACACCTCGTTAGCAAAAGAGTTAACTGCGTTATATTAGGGTGGCAGGAACCTATTTCATTTGTTAAAATACCGCTTATAATTTATCTGTGAAATATTATAGGGCACTGTAATTTGTAAACTTTGAGCAACCAAGTCTCCGGAAATATAAATAATAAGCCGTCATCGCAAGAAGATTCAGTGAACCGAACCGTACGCTGTTGCGCTTTCATACAAACTATTATTTGGTATTTAGGGTATACAAGGCATTTGACACAGCCAATAAAATTTACATCAACAGAAATGGAAGACATATTTTTAGGATTTGATAGTTCTGATAAAGAATCTTCACAGATATAAATGTCAATGAAGTCATCAATGTTGCGTTGCCTATGAACACACGCCCACTTAGAATAACAATGAAACTATTTTTCCGTGACTGTACTCTGGAACCCTTAACCGTTAGTATGCGATTCATAAATGGACGCACCATCGCCCGATTCGGGACACGGTTCTATGGCTCGTTTTTCATGTTATGATTGTTAGGAAGGCTGAGCCAGCAACCGGTAGTACCTACGACGCCGAGCACGACAACTGTGCGCCGGCTTCAATTTGCATACATTATAGGGCCCCCATAGACGTAAGTATAACGTGCTACGTATACGGCAGTTTTTTAACATTAAATCTCTAGTCGTACCCTCTTGTAGACAGAATAATCATGGTTTGCATGAAGACGATGGTAAATTCTCATCGGGGATAGAATCCTCGTAATATTTCTCCCATTTACCAGAGGGAAATTTTGTACAAAAGTCGATTGTTTGGGTACCTCTATCCTATTCGTGTTTCATTCGTAAAGCAGTTGTGTTTCGGTTTCAAGGGTGGGACATAGCGTGAATTTACTGGGTACGGAGGAATAACACCTGAGCCCTCAGGAATAGCAACGCATGGGGGGTATGATGAGCGAAACAGTATACACTGTTATGTCCATGTTATGCTCATGTCTATAGGCGACGGTAACCACTTTCCATCAGGTGGGCCGTCAGCTTGTTAGCCATTCTAAGCTGTATAAAAAAAAAAGAAATTCTGTTCCAAGTCGAGCGCAAACATTTTACAATGGACTGCATTATAACTATTTTTTATATATATTTCGCAATCTATCGGATACAATCAACATTTCTTCGCTGCCCTCTCGCGTGCTTCAAGTGCCCTTTAGGGGAAAAGGGATTGTAATTGGGTCTAAAGGATCCATTGCTAGCAATACACCCAATTGGGTCGACCTCCACGCGGTTCCCCCTGGAAACCATCGTGGTTAAATCTAGTGCAATTTGTCACGATAGTCTATCGCAGGCAGGCAGGTCAGTTAGTCAACTGACCTGCCTTTTCATCCTCACATATCATCCCTCACTAGTGCCCCGCCAGCGTATCCCGATAGCGCAGGCAGTTTACCATTTCATTATCAACAATTAAAATATATATATATATATATATATATATATATATATATATATATATATATATATATATATATATATTCGCTGTATTTATAGCATATAATTGTTGTATTGTGTATTTAATATTATTAAGGTCGATATTTAGTTTCTCAAGGAGACTCTAATACATATGTTATTATTGTGGACCATTGGTCAGATTAACATAGGATGGCAGAATGAGTGAACGGCACTCTGCACTTTGGTTCGTGTATCCTACTAGAAAGATGTTAACAGTCGCGTTCTACGTCTCCAAGATATGGTAGCCCCGCCTGCGCTATTAGAATACGCTGGCGGAGCACGAGTGAAGGGTGATAGATGAGAATGAAAACAGGTCAGTAAGCCCATCATGATGAATTCATTACAAGTTAACCATAATAGTTACCAGGGAGAACCGCGAGGAGGTCGACCTGGTTGGGTATATTGCTAGCAATATACCCAACTCTGAGTCTCCATTACTAACAATCTCCTTCCCCCCGCGATAAAGTATTAATGTTTAGAGTTTAGAACACCTTAGTCCTTAGATATGACAACACATGAAGAATGGCATGAAGACAGTCGCAGTGTATGATGCCCATGGTACTGTTGTCTAAAGCTGATGTTCCCACTTTCCATCAGGTGAAATGATAAAATAAAAATTACTTAATATCTTTAAGTAATTATATTTCAGTGCAAAGATGAAAAAAAAAAATTTAGAGAAATGATAAATTATTTGCAGACCTTTAGATATACCCTATTAAATATACAAAAAATGAAAGTAAAAATATTGTAGTAAAAAAATGCAATGCAATTTAGTAGTACAACTGTAACATTATAGGTTTAGTACAGAGTACATCGCACGTTACAAATTTTAATTACATTTAAAACAATTTGTTGGTTATCATTGTTTTACACAAAGAAAGGAATAATGAAATAATAAAAAAGTGAACGTAACAATCAAAATATATCTACGAGATATTTGGGCTGTGTCACCTAGTTCACTAATACATTTCATGTAAAACATTTTAATACAGTACGGTAGCTGTCTACAAATAGAACAAACAGTTTTAAATAATTATGTATAGGTAGATATTTTAATTAATTATATTACTAAAGAAATGCAAAGTGTTAGATAGCCTTCAAGTCTTCGGGTAGGTCGTTCTTGGGATGCTTGTTTTCGAAATGCTGCTTGTAAGTCTTGGGGTCGGGCATCTGCGCCTGCAATGAGCACATAGCATTTATTACGTTTTGTATGCAATAAATTATTTGCACTTATAAGATGCAAATACAGTCTCTACAGTTAGTAACATCTAGTGTAGTAATAATACAACTATAATGAATTCTCTCATATTTCAGTTTCGAGCAACACTCCTGTTTAATGGTGATCTATTAAACATGAGTGCTGTTCTAAATTATTGAATCATTTTGATTATTGATTTATTGATCATGGAGATTATTGAATCTTCACTACATGTGGAGCGTGGGATATGTTGTATTGTCTGTTTGGAGCTATAGGAATTGTATCCTTTCAGGCCCAGTCATTGTCACACCATTAGCAAATAAAACATTATTAAGGGGGACTTTGCTTTATAATATTAAGTGATTAGGAACAGTTATTCAGGTATGGGGGTACTGTTGCAACCCTATGTAACAGTAACTAGTATGTCACAAAGTGGTTCACCATGGTTTTTTTAATAACAAATGTAATCTGGGATATGACTTTAAATTAGGGTCAGGTCTTAATTTTCTTAGTCTTAAAATCAAATTTTTACTCATTTATGTACAACATGTCGGTCAAATATTTATTTGTGCACCAGTATTACATTATTACTAATTAGTAAAATTGTGCATTTAATAAATAGATTGAGGCATACAATAAAGGGTTATTCATAACAAGACAAAAAATATTTCCAATCTCTCTCATATATCAGTGTTCAGTTTATAATATCTCATGCTGTTAGTGTCACCATGTATCTTATTTATTGGACCTACAGATGCTATACTTAATCTATGATTGCAAATGTTCAGTTCATAATTACTTTTGTGTCAGAAAATAAACCAAAATTATAAGAAATAAAGTTATGGATTCTAATATACCTAGAGTTTACTTTTTTTTATGTAAATGGACCAGAATCAGGTTCTATAAACATTTGTAAAAAAAAAAATTGGACAGTCTAAAAAAAAAAAAGAAAAAGAAAAACTATGACATTGCCCTGTACTACTACAAACATACAACTAACAAATATATTAAATACTAGGGGCCCGTCCTGGCTTCGCAAGGGTGGACATTTTTACAACATTTTACACTGTTCAACATAATATCTTTTGAATGGAATATACCTACGATTTGAGAAAAAAAAAAAAAAGAATCTGCTGGTATTGAAACATTTTTGAATACCAAATAATTTATTTGAATAGGGATTAATAAATAGGTATGAATAACATGTACAAGACAACAGCGTTATTTTTTCTATTTCTATGACTTATTAATTCCTAATATCTATTGAATAGAATAGCCGATATAAACAATTCAAAAAGTAATCTACACAAATTGAAACAGTTTTGAAAACAATATGATTTATTTGGATAAGGATTTAAACAGAAGTATGAATAACATGGTGTAATTTTTGTCAGTATTTCTATCACCTTTTAAAATGTAAAAAAGTGGTTATTGTGACATAACGATAATAGTTGTACACCACATTAATCAGGATGAATGTAGGTTTTTAATGGTGAAAGAATTTTTGAAATCGGTAAAGTAGTTTTTGAGTTTATTCATTACAAACATACACACAAAAATACAAATCTTTCCTCTTTATTATATTAGTGTAGATTTAATCAGTATCTGTACTGGATTTTGACACAGAGACTCAGGGAGGTGGACGAAGGCCTAAGAGAGGTGTCACAGGAGGATCAGTGATCACTACATCAACACATTTATCTATTTTACCTTACATATTATTCCCCATGGTCAATAACAAAAAACAGTTATAATAAATTACAGCAGATAAAAGTTGAGACATGTAAACAATAATGTATTAATAATAAATCCATAAAAACAAAGTATTTCATAAACATATTTTAGCTATTGTAATGTTTTGTCCTTTTATTTTCCGCTTAATTCCCATTTGAGTGACAGTCCCAAAACACTGTAATAGTTAAAGTAGGTTTATAGAAGCATTTAATTTTTATGAATACGAGAGTATTCGTTTAAATTTTTGTTTGTATCAGAAAATTTAAATTGTGAATTTACCTTACAAACAACACAAACATGAACCAGTGCCTTCTGAGCTGCTTTTTTCTGATCAGTGGCACTGTGTCCCTGTTGTTTCTTTATTTTATTTTGTTTTTCGGCAGCTTTTGCCTGTGACTGAATTTTCTGCTGGCCACGAGCCATCCTGCCCTGCAATTCATAATCACACTACCGTTACTACCATATTGTCAATTTTTATTAACACCGAATTTTCTACATACATTGGAATATCTACAACACAATTGACTATAAAAATTTAAATCAACAAGTTCATTACAGTAGAAAGTTTTGGTGAGAGGACAGCCTTATGGCTTAATGTAACTCGATTATTTTACCACATGTCCAATGGATTACCGCTTAATATAACTTTATTATATGAGAATTCTGTTAACAATCATGGAAAATTTAAATTCATTGATACTTGTGGTGTTTTCTTGCTAAAGAAAACATACTATAGACAGTAAAGAAAACGTGATTTACCTATCACTCCGTAAACCCTCTCACGCCTTCGATTCAAGATGCTCTTTGTGAAAATTTATAGAAATATTTGTTAATTCGCCAGTAAATTATGAGTATTACACATAAAATATTGTCTATAACAGCAATAAGGAAAGTTATTTCTATGGTTAATTGTTAGAAAAATAAAATCTAAAAGATTATTTTAGTCAATTTTAAAAGGATGCTGTCACTTAGTAATTGTCCTAAAAACTTTTTTCTGGAAACAGTATTGCCAGATACATTTTTTTATTTCTACCAAAGAGTGCATAACCAAGGGAAATTAGTGATTGCTACCTAAATAAAAAAATTCTATGAAAATGTGAGAGTGAAGGCTCACTTCACTTGAAGCATAAATTTTACATATAATACCTTAGTGTAGAAAAATATATTACGCCGACCGCAATTAATAATTGGAATAAGGGTAAGCAGATGATAAAGAATATTATAATATTCATCATCATCTATTTATAGAATATCAGACAGAGCACTCACTTTCAACGTTCCCCTCTTATTCCTCAATCCTTTCTTGACGGAAACTACAAAAAAAAATTAATCCTAAAGAGGGTTGACTGAATACATATTTTGCAATTTCGGCGGTCTCTCTAGTTTAAAGATTAACGATTTCCGGCACTTCAGTTACTACTATTATACTACTACTAAGTGATGGTGAATTAGATCGAACAGTAAAAAATAAAAAAAATGGCGAGGTATTTGTACAGAAACCCTACCGAGCAAATAATTACTACGTTAGGGACACTGCTTACATTTACCTATACAATACTTACCAAAGTGACAATCCTAGCTAATTTGTCTATTGACCTCTCTCTCGTTTCAATTCTCTCCAACCTCGAAGTATATAAAAAATGTACAAATCTTTAGACTTTAAGAAAACCAAGTAATTTAATAAATACACACACAATTTGTGATACATGGAAAAACGTAGTGAAAAAAAGATACAACTTTATGGTAAGGTAAAAATCCTAAAACTCATTGATTTGAAGAAAATAATATTTGACGTTTAGGTAAAAATCAAATTTGGCATCTGGTAACCCTGGTATATTATTATTATAGGTTAAGTACTTACCTATTTTTAATTTTTTAAACAATATCTTTGTGGAAATATGAATAGTATAAAGAACTATATCGTATATTATCTAATGTTTGCAATGAACAGAAATATTATTCTATAACCTTATTCTTCGATAATTACAATGTGTGTTGTTATTTAATGATAAGAAAGTGCTTCTATAAAATTATAATTTAATATGAAAATGGCTATGAAACAATTAATATGTCGAATTTGCTTTGGCCGCACCCTGCTCGTGAGCAGTAAAAGTCGGTCTATGGGCACACAACCGAGTGACACTCCACTACGACGTCTTCTGGAAGATGCCAGTAGTTTCGGTGAAGCGCAGCCGTCGGATGCAGAGCTGCAGTGGGCGACGCAGCCGTACGCGGTGCGAGCGGCCTCCGCCACCGGCCCTGAAAGTGGCCCTGCAGAACGGGTGCAGCCTCAAGAGACTACTATATTGCTATTTCCTGGACAAGGATCACAGAGAGTCGGCATGGGCCGTCTCCTTTCAAATATACCTGCTGCCAAAGAATTATACGAGTTGGCTTCTAGTGTTGTCGGGTACGTAGTAGGTATACTGTGTTCATAATTTGTGTTCACAGAGTACTTTTGCTAGTTAACTCGTAAATTAAATTTTTACTGGACCCTCCCCTAAGGGTCTCTACTGACCAGTGATTTTTAAATCTTCCCCTTTTATAAATAAACTAGGTGTAAGTGTAACCCACTGCTTTGCCCATATTAATTGGCATTAAAAGTACTACCTTGTATGCTGTACCATGATATATTTCATTTATGTACTTTTCAAATATCTTAAGTAACAATCACCTAAAATATTGTAAAATTTTTTTAATTTATACAATCATACATTTCTGTCCTACCTGTCCCCTATCAGAGTAGGCCGAAACAATGGAATACCAAATGCTCCTATTCAAACAAGCTTCTTTCGCTTCCTCCACATTCATCAATCTTTTCATACGAGTTTGCTGGTCATGAGTACTTTTAGTTTGGCCCTTCTTCAGCATGTCGCTATGTATTTATCTATTATATTACATGTGTCTTTTATATATTTTATATAATATACAAACCCAACACTACTATTTTTCTCATTGTTGTTAGTTATTTAATTTCATTATTGAACACAGTATTCTTTGTATATGGGCTAACTCATCGTGATGATTTCCATTATAATTACATTTGATGAACCATGGTTACATTGCATTCACCATGATCATTTCTAAAAGAAACCAGTGAAGGATGATAGGCGAGAATGAAGCAGGTCATTTAGCCCATTGTAATGAATTCAACAAGAATTGTTCATGATGGTTTCCAGGGGGAACCGCATGGAGATCGACCTAATAGGACATATTGCTAGCAAAGGGGCTATCAAACTCCATTGCTAAAGATCCCTTTTCCCTCCTCTTTTTGCTCCACCCACACTACCGGTATATACTAGCGGGGATGATAGTCAAGGATGAGGGAGGGGCAAGACAGCGACTGTGGGGAGATCACCCCGACGAGGTACATCACCAGATATGGTTCCGCCAATCCTTGGCATCAACTCCCTCCCGCGCAAGTCGCCGCCACAGTATCTATAACAGTAAATACGTTAACGGTCGCAAACAACGGATGGCTCGCATCGGTCGACGGGCATGCGGGTATATAAATCAGCGCGACAGATTATTGGCGGACGGTCGCGACCGACGGGCCGTGTGACGAGGCGAGCTGACCCCGGGCATGCGGTGCATGTGCAGGTGGGACGTGTGGCGCGTGTGCACCGAGGGCCCGGCCGCGGAGCTGGACGCGCGCTGCCAGACGGCCGTGCTGGTGACGGCGCTGGCCGCCGTGGAGCGCGTGCGCGAGGAGCGGCCGGCCGCGCTGCAGCGCGTGCGCGCCGTGGCCGGCTTCTCGCTGGGCGAGATCGCGGCGCTCGTGTTCGCGGCCGCGCTGCCCTTCGAGGCGGCGCTGCGCCTGGTGGAGCTGCGCACGGCGGCCATGCGCGCGGCGGCGCGCGAGCGGCGCGGCGGCATGCTGACGGTGTGGCTGGCGGCCGACGCCAGCCTGCCGCACGCGCTGCTGCGCGCGCGCGACCACGCGGCCGAGCGCGGCGTCGAGGCGCCCGTGTGCCAGGTCGCCAACTACCTCTACCCGAACTGCAAGGTCGTCGCCGGCGACGAGGAGGTCAGTATTGACAGTTTGGCTCTTCTATACTCGGCACCGGTAAGTGCGTATCGGAGTGGCAAATGAGTCGCCCCGCTGGCCCACCTAGTAAAACTTTTATATATATATTTAATATTCTTTTCTTAGAAGCATACGCTTATACCTACTTCTGTGAATGAACGTCAACTGAGATGCACAATTATAAAAATAGGTCTATGTATAGCCTTCTACACGATAAGTACTCGAAATAAATATATGTCCAACCAAAATTGGCACAACGGACTGAATATCTCAATGGAGATATTTTTAAAGGGTGCCAGTGAGTATCTAACCTATATATAAAATTTTGAGTCCATAGTTGCTCAATTTATACTCCCGCCGCTATAATAAATGCCGATTCTTAAAGGTTTAGTCATAGTAAGTACTAGAAAGTTTGCAATTTTTCATCTCGAGTCGAACGGATGTAGGGAAGAAATGAGGAGGTGCGGGCGGTTTGCAGGCGCTGCGCTGGCTCGAGCGGCACGGCGGCGAGCACGGCGTGCGGCGGCACGCGCGCGTGCGCGTGGAGGGCGCGTTCCACACGCCGCTGATGGCGCCGGCGGCGGCGGCGCTGCGCGAGGCGCTGCAGGCGGTGCCGGCGGCGCGGCCGCGCGTGGCCGTGCTGGGCGGCGCGGACGCGCGGCCGTACGGCGACGGCGCGCACGTGCGGCGCGCGCTGGCGCGGCACGTGGCGCGGCCGCTGCGCTGGGAGCAAGCGCTGCAGGCGCTGTACGCGCGGCCGCGCGGCGCCGCCTACCCGCTCACGCTGGCGCTGGGGCCCGGCGCCGCGCTGCGGGCCACGCTGCGCCAGGTCAACGCGCGCGCCTGGGACTCCTCGCTGCAGGTCGACGTCTAGCGCTCGCCGCCGCCCGACCCGCCTCCGGTTCTATATTTTGTAAATGGACCTCAAAATTGTAATAAACTTCCTTTGTTTCTTGTTTACTTGGTGTTTTATTGTGCATTGAAAACAAATCTATCTATTCTTGTATTTCAAATTGACCTATTCTTTTATTATTATTATTAAATTTTCCGCCGTGCATAACTATACGCGGGTCCTTGGAGTGGATTAAAGATAGTCCGCCGGCGTTCACCTGCTGTATCAAAAAAAATATGCGATCGAACGCCTTCTCCATATCCCGGGGTACTGCAATGATGTGCTCACACTTGTTGTGAGCACTTGTAATTTTGCGTTGCAATATCGTGGAGTGTTCCGCTCTAAACCCAAATTGCTCCGGTTGTGGCTTCAAGTGTAGCTGTAGGTGTTTGAGGAACAGCCTTTTAAACCCTTTGGCTATGTGTTGCAACAACGTTATTGTTGACCGGTATGACTCGGGTTGCAATACATTCTTGGCGGATTTAGGCAGCATGACTTAATCTATCTTCCGTGGGTCTGGGAAATGTCTTGTGCGCACAATATCGTGTTGTACAGATGCGTCAGTGCCGCTATAGTGTGCGGCACCAGGTAACGCAGTACCATAATAATGATATTGTCGCTGCCGGGACCATTCTAAAATATTGTATTTCTGATTTTATGCTGCACTTGTCTCGGCGTAAAAACAACCTGGTCTTCGTGCGGTAACAGGAGTGTTGCCAGGTAGTTTTCGACGAATTTGTCTATTCTAGGAACAAGTACGATGTCCAAAGCCGGGTTAGGTTGGAACTAGCGTTCGAGGTGGTCCGCGTAGATTTCCGCACGATTTGCTGCGCGGTATCTCAGTTTCCCGTCGCTCGCCAGTAGGACTGGGGCCTGAGATTTGGTCAGCTAGCGACATAAGCGGTGGATACTGTTCCAATCGTCGTCGGCTTCCACATGACGGTCCCAGCTCTCCTTCCTATGGAAGTCGATGTCGCTCTTGATTTTGGTTGATAAGCGGTTCAACTTCGCCTTGAGGGTGGGTGTCTTGCGACCTGCCAGTCTCTGCAGATGCAGTGTATGGCGACATGATTATTGAGTGTTGCGGCTGATATCCAACACGAGTTTTTTTGTTTGTGAACGGTCGAATCGCATCTTAATTTTCTGCTTACATGGCGACTGACAGGTCTTTCGAGTCCCTTGGCATCGACTGAGATTGAAATTGTCATCGTTGGCTTGTTCTGATGCATTGACCCATGAATCTGTCTCAGACACTCCGGTGGGGCGGGGTCTGTGGCATCAGATGTACCGGGATCATCTGAATATTCATGCATACGGGCAAGTGACCGGATTGGATGTCCTCTAAGAGGACTTTCTGCGTCGGTCGGTTGTACAGCCCTTTGTAGAGGGGGATTTCGAGCACGTCGGAGATTCTTGAGTCGTGGCAATAATGAGTAGTAACCTCTTAGTCCATGGACGGTGATATTCAATCTTTCAACTATCTCCAGGAGCTTTCTGCCTTCGGTCTCATTCGTATTTGAGTTTCACGCCGTGTGCTTGTAGTCCATTCCTTCTGCTGCAATGGTAGGTTGCAGCAGAAGGAATGAACTACAAGCATCATCATCTATCATGATAATAAATAATTATAAAATCAGTTAAAATATAAATTAGTGTTCTATATGTATTGCAAGAATAAATTATTACCAAATTCGGTATAATAACAATTTTAATACTTTACCCCTAAATGAAAAGAATGATAAGAAAAATAGATGTTGGCCGATTCTCAGCCCTACCCAATATGCACACAAAATTTGATAAAAATTGGTTTAAAAGATATTTTAAAGATTTTAAAAGACAGGTTTTAAAGATCTCTCTCCATCACAAGCGGAGGACGATGATAATATTCCGCTAGGGCAACAATACAATCTGCTACCGATGGAGATGACAACGTACCACTAGCTCAATTAGTTGCTCAGTTGCACAGATCTACCGCTACAGAACCGGGGTTTGAAATAGATTAGTTTATTGCAATAGATGACAATGTTGCCGTATGTGCGCTTCAGCTACTGAGGAAGAGATTCTTGCAGAAGCTGTAAGTACCAATCGCAACACTGACGAAGAAAACGAAGAGCAGCAAGACCATCAAGAGCACTTACAACCACCAACAATATGTGAGGCTCTTAACGCTATTAGAGTTTTAGAAAAAAATGTTGTCTACAACGACCAGTTTAACCTTAATGATACCTTAACGAGAATGAAACGTAAAATGCAAAATATATTTGAGGCTCAGTTTAAAAAAAAAACAGACTAAAATGACTGATTAAAAACTAAATGTAAACTTTTCTTAGTGTGTGATACTGTAAGCATTTTTAAAAAGCTTTTCATAATAAACTTTTCGACTTTTTTTAAAAAACAAGTTCATATGCATTACCTGTACTCATACTATGATATGTATATACGCAAGCGTTATTATCGATAGCTGTGAACGAGGAAAAATAAACTTGGTATTACCTTTATAAATAAATGTAGAATATATTCATAAACGCAAATGATTTTCTATTAAATCATAAAGTTAATTCGCGATAAACATAAATTAAGTGGTTGTTTTTCCTTTTATACAAACAATAATTAAGATTCTCATTCGACTAGAACCACGTTCCGGAATAGCAAAATCTTTAATTACTATATTTTGTATCAATAATTCACTTTATCAAATACACTACTAAGATATTATGTATTATTTATTTATGTATCAATGTTTTAAGTATGTGAGGTATTTTATAAAATAAGGGTATGATGAGGCTGACATATCCTTATAGGATAAAAGCCTCTAAATAAAAAAGATAAAAAAAAATATTTCTATTTAAATGAATTAAATGATTGTATTTTCTTCCGCTACAAACAGCAATTAAGATTCTCATTTGACTATTATTTCTATTTAAGTGAATTAAATAAGTGTTTGAAACAAGTATTTGAATGTTTCAAACTAACAAATTAATCGATATCAATGTTTTATAATAGAATAAACTATTGTAAGCATTCGTATTCTTATGTAAAAGAAATATAAGGTATTTAAATGACTATGTAGTATTTTTACTAAAACACATTATTAAATTAACAATTACACAATGTTAAGGTTCAATATAATTATAAATAAGTTAATTTTTAATACTTAGTTATTTCTAGAAAATTGTAATGAAATAAATAGAATAAATAAATAAAGTTGTGAAACTATGAGCGAGTTCACGATCGAGCATTTGATTTGATTGCAAAACTAGCGCCCTCTATTTTTAACGGAAAAAGAATTCGTACTCTCGAAAAGTTATGAGTGTAAAAATATAATTTTCAGTCCAATAGTAACCTAGATACTTTAAAGTACTGATGCCTGAAAGCTATAAATATAAGTGTAATTGGAAAGTGTAATGAAATAAAATTGTTTAAACAAGTATTATTTGTTATAGTTACAAATGAGCAAAGGATGAACCAGGACAAACCAAGTAATGTCAGTCATACTAATATCACTATGCCAAAAAATCAAGCACACACAATCTTGCTTCGTTGTATACATTAATCTTTAATTCCTTCTACCAAAAGTTTGTATGGCAGGGTTGCTTAGCAATAAAACTGCCTTTTGTACTACATAGTGTATTTTGGTAAATGTAATCATCATCATCTTCCTACCCTTATCTTAATTAATAATCGGGGTCGCTGTAATATGATCTTATCCATATTACAAAAAGATTTGGCTTATAGTTTTACGACCGGCCGCCTGCCTGAATATTTTGGTAAATGTAATATCGATGCTAAATTGATTTTTGTTTCAGTTTTCATAGCGTTATATTCGGGACTTCTTTTTTTCTTCTAGTCGGTCACCGCTCGAGCGGCGGGCACCTTTTTTTCTTTTTTATTTTTGTCGAGCCACGGCTGGACTGCGTCTCGCACGAAACTGTGGCCGCTCGTTGGAAAAACTCTCGGCGTCACGTTTTAAATACAATAGAAAATATTTACTTGTATAAAAATTAGATAAGTAGTATTTTTGTAACTGCTGGGAGTTTTAGTGCGGGCTGCCGACACTGAGGTTACTCGAGGATTTTCAAATGAAACTGCCGGGAAACTATAAATAAATATTTACTATATCAAAAATAGAGGAGTATAGCGGGGCGGGGCGGGGCGGTGTGGTCACAGGCCGAGCGGGTTGCGCGTGGGCTGGCCGGCGGCGGCGGCGACGTCGGCGCCGAGGCGCGCGAGGCGCGCGTGCTGGCGCAGCGGCGCGGCGTCGCGCGCGGCCGCCAGCAGCGCGGGCGCCCGCGCCAGCGCGCGCTCGGCCCACGCCTCGGCCAGGCGCAGCTCGTGCTCGGCCGCCGGCAGCGCCAGCCGCGCCGCGCGCGACGCCCGCGCCACCACCACGGCCGCCGTGTACGCGTCCATGGCGGCGGCCGCGAGCCGGTTGAGCACGAACTGCTCGTCCACGATGCCGCGCCCGTACTTGAGCAGCGCGCCCTCGACGCAGCGGCCGAAGTGGAGCGCGGCGCGGCCCAGCTCGGCGGCGGCGGGCCGCAGCGCGGGCGCCACGAGCGGCGCCAGCTCGGGCCCGCGCGCCAGCCCCACGGCGCCGGCGGCGCGCCGCCCCGCCTCGCTGAATATCAGCCCCAGGTGCGCCGTCGGGTTCTTGAACGCGCGCTGCAGCTCCTGCAGGTGCGAGCCCGCGAACTGGATGCCTGCGGGCAGCCGCAGCAACAGCCGGTTAGCGCCGTATATCACGAGGGGCGCCGACGAATTTATATAAAACCGTACTAAACTTTCGGTAAAAGCCTTTCGGTAAAATACATAAGTTTGATTCGGATCAGAAGCAAACCAGCGCATATACGTTTAGTGGAGCAGTTCATCAAATAGAGAGAGATATATAAAGCAAAATAGAGAGAGCAGATAGAGAAGTAACCGAAATTATTTCTGTGCACGTGAACTAGCAAAAGAGATATGTTTCCCACGACTCCCGTCGTGCTCGATTTACCGACTAGACTACGGTGGGCGACCGGAGTCCGATTTTCGACGAGGAGCGGCACACTCACCGGTCAACGCGACGAAGAGCCGCAAGATGTCGTTGGTGCCCTCGAAGATGCGGAAGATGCGCAGGTCGCGCAACACGCGCTCGAGCCCCGTGGCCTTCATGTAGCCCATGCCACCGAGAATCTGGATCGCCTCGTCCACCACCTTCCAGGCGGAGTCCGACGCGAACACCTTGGAGATGGCCGCCTCGAGGTGGTAGTCCTGGCAGCCGGCGTCCATGTTGCCGGAGACCATGTAGGCGAGCGACTCGGTGACGTACTGCAGCATGGCCATGTCGGCGAGCTTCTCGCGCACGCCGCCGAACTCGGCGAGCCGCTTGCCGAACTGCGTGCGCGTGGCGGCGTGCTCGGCCGCCTGGCGCAGCGCGGCCCGCTGCGTGCCGGCCAGCGCGGCCGCCATGCCGAAGCGGCCGTTGTTGAGGATGTTCATGGCCACCTTGAAGCCGTTGCCGATCCCGCCCAGCACGCAGCGCGTCGGCACGCGCACGTCCTCGAAGTACACCTCGGCCGTGTTGGAGCACTTGATGCCCATCTTGTTCTCGGGCGGGCCCGACGACACGCCGCCGAACGAGCGCTCCACGATGAACGCCGTCACCTGTCCAATGGAAGCATCAACAGCGTTAGCGACCTGCCCGCGCAGCTCCTCTCATCTGCCCGTCGTCACCTAACCTGACAACTCTTACCTAGTATGCTGTTGGACACAGCTTCCCTCATAAGGGGAGTTTTACCAGTAGTTGTCACGCTTAACAGGCGGTTTGACAACCGCCGTTTGACTTTTGGTAAATTTAAGAGGGATGCAGCTACCCATCTCTCCACCATAAGCTCCCTTAGCAGTTCTCTTATGACACCCACGGGAAAGCAAGGGGTGGCCTATTGTATGCCGGGAGCTACACGGCTACCTAGTATGTGTTACAATAGTGCTATGAGATATTGCATACTTTGTCGACAGTCTTGCCGTCCTTCTCGATGGGCGTCTGCGCGAACACCGTCATGATCTCGGCGATGCCACCGTTGCTGATCCAGATCTTTGATCCGTTAAGTATGAAGTGGTCGCCGTCCGGAGAGAGCACAGCTCGCGTTCTGGAAATTAAAATATGACATTGTAGTTATACATAAGAACATTGCATATATACAAGCAGAGGTAAACAATATGTTAGTAAACCATTTTGTGTTAATGTGGCACACTCACGACAAATTATGTTAATTCTTTTCTGTCCTTTTTTTTTTTTTTTGTAAGTATGTACCATTATCTGATGTTATGTGTGTGGTGCTAATAGTGTATAGTGATGCAAATAAATCATCTGTGTATATGATATTGAAATAATGGTAAAATTTTGATATCCACCATCTTTGTCAAATCTCTATCGTAGCCACTGATATGTTTACATATGAATTTGATGATTGTATTATTTTGGAAATATTTTTTTTTACTAAAGTTATGTTTTGTATACAGCAGGATTATGTTTTGTATTTTAAATTGATGATTTGTAATTGAACGAAAAATTCATTCAACTACTGACAAATTACAGATTATTCACTTAGAAAATTAATGCCATTTTTCGTTGTAATTTTATAACTTAAGAACGGGCTCACCTATCCAAACCAAATGTTTAGACTTTATTCGGACTATTTAGTAGACGGTTTATGTAAAGTTTGCACAAAATCGGTCGAGCAGTTCTTCATTTATCACATTTTTTGTAACAAATGAATTCAATAAATGGCAATCATTTTGTTAATGCGGATTTTTGTGTCAAACTCAAACTTTTTAAGATGGCGATTGTGCTGTCAAATTGAAACTGTTTTCAGTGTTGACAGTACAAGCGTGTTGTTATGTCATTCATGCGGTCATTTCATTTTAGACGTACTTCGATTAAAGCAAATGGTCAGCGATAATTATTGCTTTGTGTTTATATTTTTAAACATATTGTTTAAATCGGCTATTCAACTTAATAGATATTACGAATTTAATAAGTCATAGAAATAGAAAAAATAACGCTGTCGCGTTGTACATGTTATTCATACCTATTTTAGATGTGCGGGAGAGGGGCAAGTGGGGCAGGCATATCTATAAAATAGGTAGCTAGGTAGGTACAGATATAAATGTAAAATGTTGTAAAAATGTCCTCCCGTGCGAAGCCGCGAAGGGCCGCTAGTAAAGTATAAATTATTTATACAAACGACAGTCTCAATTGAGAATTTAAATCAAGCGTATTACGATTTGGTGTAATATTACTATATCAAACCATGCGTACTGTCTATTACAATAATCACGTGGCACGAGTCGCGCGATGACATTATGGCGACAAATTAACCGATATGTGATTAAATCTGATTACATACATGGCCGCTATAAATAGAAGTGGCCGTGCTTTTATCGTATCCGATAAAACCACTCCCACAGTAATTATTGACTAATGCTGTGATTATTTATAATCATGTCGGTGTCGGTGTCCATAGATAACGGTAACTTGCGCTCGGCTAACACCGGTCTAGATCTAGAGTAAACACTCTTATCTACTGATACGGCAGCATTCATATAAACAGTGTAGTGTACTTACTGTTATAAAAACAATAACAAGATAATACTAATACAATACGGTTATTTGACAGTTTACCATTCTAAGCCATAAAAAAACTATTAAAGACAAAAAAAATGCGAGCGCAGGCAGCGCACGATACAGAACAAAGGGCCTACCATGAAATATTTTCCGAAATTTGGGGGATGAACGAAACAAATTTGATGTTAAAATTACATAATACGTACCGTTTAAAATTATTAAAAATGTTAAAATATCGTTCCTCTGAAATATTAGGATAGAATTTATGATAATCGAAATGTTAAACTCCATTTATTGGTCCGATTTTGGTATAAACAAAAACACGAAACTGAGTCCGAAATTTCGGAATTTTATTTCATGGTAGACCCGCAGTTTACACTACTGTTATGCTGACAATGAAAAAAAAGTTTAGATGAACTTGTTGCAGATATATAAAAAAGTTGTCTCCTTCTCTCCTGCTCCCACGGGTAGTGCGTGCGTGTGCGTGTGCGTGTGCGTGTGCGTGTGCGTGTGCGTGCGTGTGCGTGCGTGCGCGGTGGTGGCTCACTTGATGGAGCCGGCGTCGGAGCCCGAGGAGGGCTCGGTGAGGCAGAAGGCGGCGTACTCGCCGCCCGTGACGCGCGGCAGGTAGTGCGCCTTCTGCTCGGCCGTGCCGAACAGCAGGATGCCCTTGAAGCCGATGGACTGGTGCGCGCCCAGCGTGATGCCCACGCCCAGGTCGTGCGCGCCCACCACCTGCCACACACAGCGACGCCCTGCTCACATATCGCGCCTCGTGCGCTTTACATCCATCGTCAGGCTTACGATCGATCACTACCGTTGCAATCTATTGTTTTATTAGCGTACATGGTAATCAACCACGGCTATGTATTGAATACATTAGAGGATTATATATAGATAGATAAAAAAAAAGGATAAAACCTTTATTAGTTTCTAATTAAACCTTTTCTTTTGATATCCGACGTTTCATCATTAAAAAAAAATTCAGTTCCCGACTTTGTCGTTTAGAAGGCAACATATTCAATGTGATGTCACATACCCTAGAACTAGCGGGGGGAAAGGAATTGTTAGTAGTGGGGTTTAACAGCCCCATTGCTAGCAATATACGCTATCAAGTCGACCTCCACGTGGTTTTCGCTGAAAACCATTGTGGCTACTTTTTGTTGAATTCGTCACATATGAGCTAACCGATCTGCTTCACCCTCATCTATCATCACTCACTGGTGCCCCGCCAGTGTACACCAACGATTTTTCAAATTATAATAAGTAGTCTAGAAGTTACGAGACAGATGACCATACATACATATACTGGTCAAAATCATATCTTTTTTGCTCACTGTAGTTGGTAAATATATAGCTATTATATATAGGTATATAAATAAATGTACATATGGCGGACCTAACACCTAATGGCATTCTCTATCAGTCAACCATGAGGCAAGCAGAAAATTAAGTAGGCGGTTCATTTACTAGTAAATGGATTACCCATAAAACGTATCACGGGGTAAGCAGAGACGCCCAATCAATTTATTATGGTATTCAGACCCTTGGGGAATAGTTGGAGGGGCCCCTGGGGGAAGTCCCGTTTAGGCCGGCTTCAAGTCCGGGGGCAGTTACCCCCGGGTCCGTGTATGTCCTCGCGTACCTCGACGAGGCGTGCGTACTGCGTGTTGCTGAGGCCGAGCCCGCCCAGCTCGCCGGGCACCTGCAGCCCGAAGGCGCCCAGCTCCCACAGCCCCGACAGCGTGGCCTCCTCGATCTGCGCGTTCGCATCGTTCTTCGCCGGGTCGTTCACCTGAGGACGTCACCGAGTAGACGAGTGAGAAACGCGACGTGTCCTAGTTACTCTATCATATATGTGTGCAGTGATACGACTTTGAATATATATATTAAAAACTAGACAGTAGTTTAGTTTTTAAATTAAAATAACTGGTATTGCCACAATTGAAGTCGGCTGTTTTTGTGGAACACATCATTATCAAATAAAGCACAAATACAGTCAACATAAGCGCTAACATAAGCCATATCATACCAAGTACGAGTACCTAGAGTCGGTTGGGATGCTTCCAAGGAATCCACTGACTTATAGCATTGACCTACAAATAGTATTATCTACATTTAAAACACATACTTATATGTATAAAATTGATATTTTGTAACATTTACGTAAGAATACAAACAACATATTGTTAAAGGTATAAAGGTCTTCCATAGCAAGGTTATTTGATTATTGTCAACTTACCCTCTTATTGATAAAAACGTCAAATCTCTCATAAACCTGTTTTAACTATTGAACTCGTCGATCTTTTACTTTTACGCTCAATTCTCAATTTGAAAGACAGCGCCAAACCACAAACCAGTTCAATAGTCAAGACAATAGGTTTGTAGAAGGTTTTAGTTTTTATGAATATGGAGGTTAACCTCATTACTACCAAATAATTTGTTTTCTGAATAGTTTCAACACTATACTGGATCGACAAACGCAGCACGAATTGAATAAAATAAATAAAGCGACTAAACAGTTTATAGGAAAGGTTTAAATGTTTGTCACTACGTTTGTACATTTATCACTTTTGTTGTTCACTCTCGGTGCACGCAGTACAACCAAGCGGCACGAAAAAATTACAGGAATACAGACCTCCTCGAAGAATTTTTCAACAGGCGGCACCAGTTCCTGCAAGGTCTGGCGCTGGTCGTCCGACAGCGGCTCGGGGTAGGGGAACACTTGTGCTGTCTCGAAACGGCCGCGGAACAGGTTCAGCACGAAGGAATCGCTCTGCCGTGCGCCGCGCCGCTCGGCCGCCGCCGCCGCGCCGCGCGAGCCCTGCACGCTGCAACCGCCCGCGGACATTCATTACACTAATCATATTTAAAAATACCTACCCAAAAAATGGCTCATTTTGAATTGGCTGGCTTTGAGATTCCGACCCAGCATGACAGAGCTGCTGGTAAAGAACACGGGTATAAAGTGCTTTCTAGTAAATGTATAACCTCCCAAAAAGTACTCACATTGATGTTAAAAGTAACAACTGTGCTATAGAAGAAAATATAATAGATAAGAAGTTTATACAGCGAGATGAGAGTTGTGAAAATGCCATATACACAAAATTTTAAAATTGTTAGGGTTCCATACTTCCAAAGAAAAAAAGGAATCCTTATAGATTCACTTCATTGTCCGTCTGTCCATCTGTCAAAACCATTCTTCTTAGGAATGCATAGAGGTATCAAGTTGAAGTTAATTTCATATACTCAGGTTTGTAATCTCTTAAAGCAGTGAAATAATCAAGCTTCTAAATTAACACAATGAAAAGATATGGCTGTTATATTCCATTTATATTACATATTTTGACATTTACAAAGGGAATCAAACATATAGCACTTCCCATTAATCTAGAATCATGAAAAATATCATGTAGCACAAGTAAAGGAAAAAATCTAAAATTAATAAATTTATATTTATTTTATGAAAAAAAATTAAACTTGATGACTTTGTATTCAACCCTCATTGTTCAAGTCCAACTTGTACTTGAGTGCCTTTCTTTAATGAAAACAACATATTTAATCAGGTATATGTATATGTGAATTATATAAGTGCTTTAAATGTATTATTATTTTTCAAATAAAACTGACACCAAATTGTAAAACTAGGGAAAGGAAAATAAATCATAAAGATCACTTTCATATCATTAGGTGGAGACCTACTCAACAATGTCATAACTGTTATCTTTATTTAGGACAGTTTATGTTGGCATGTAGTACTATGTAGGAAATGGGCATCTATGTGTATATTATATAATAAGCAAAATAGTTTACATTTTTATTATTCCTTAGTTTTATTTTTTAAAACTAAAGTAAGTTTTTCATAAAAAATCCAAATTGGTAGAAAATAAAAAGAAATCATAGGATCATTATTGGAAAGCTGTATACTAAATTTATAATACCTTGCTACAATTTTTAAATCTTTAAATGTAAAGAAAATTAAGTACTGGTCATTTTCTCATTTACATGTTCTGAATGGAATATTATGTAAATGTTTTATCCTAATATTATATAAGAGTCAAGTTTTGCTCTGGTGACGAGCTCTAATGCAAACTTGTGCATAGATGGTACTGGGACCAAAACTTCACCTAAAACAAGCAGCAGCATCAACTGTCGCTTACCAGAACAACAATACTTGTTGACAAATGTATTATACTGTTTGAAGGACTAACTCAGTTTAGTAAGAAAAACTACCAGCCTGTGGCCAACTGTAACATTCACAAGAAGATTCATCAGCAGATTTAAATTAAAACAATTTTATTTACAATATATACATAAAACAAAAACAAATTTAAGCAGGTGGCATTACTATTCCATAAAAGTAGATTAATGAATTTGATGGCATCAATTTAGATATAACTAGTTAAATGAGTAATCTTAGGATTTGAATAATATGAATATGGACATAAAATAAATATGTATTTACCCTAAAAGATTATTTTACTTCCTTAATTATATTTTAGTGATTGCCTTGTTACTCCTCTTGGACTTTGTATCACAGCCTTGACCTTACCCAAATAATAGTTAGGGGAGCAAATAGTTACATTGGACGAACCACTCGGACACTAGGTACGAGAACGTTGAGGTACAAAGTCCAAGGAGATTGTTATGAGGGAATATGTAACATCTAGAGGACTCTGGCGATATAAAACTTTACTCACCTATACAAGGGCAAGAGCCTCCCCGATAAGCAGCGTTTAGCACATTTAACCAAATTAGTACCATTCATTTTTATCGTGATAATAAACTAATAATTTGTGTCAAGTTTGTGTATTATAAACAAGCAAAATTACTATGCGAAATGACTAGTTACTCATATTAGACCTATTAGATATAAATTGCACTTTAGCCTAAGTCTGAAAACAGATCTATTTCTTAGATATAAAATAAAATAAAACTCAAAAATATTTTATAATCGTCTGGTCTAATAATTCATCGTGAATAGACTAACGAAACGAATATATAAACTATTGTTGCCAGATACAATGGACTAAAATTCGCCAAATATAGGTCACTGAGTAGTCTAGTCGCCCAATATTTTTTATTCCAATATACCCCTTCTCTCACGCCTAGTCACATGCAAGTTAAACTCATACGCCCAAAGACCCATACACAGATATGAAATAAAATAAACTTTTTTGTGTTTCTTATACGAATTAGATACGTAATAGTAATTATTTTTTGGATAAAATAAATATAGCAGTACTGAATATACTGTAACATACATGCATTGGTAAATATTTGTATTTGAGTGTATTGTGATTGAATGTCTGCATTGTACTTTTTTGCGCAAACCAATTTTGTACTTTTATAATAATAAGAAACCTGTTATTAGCCTTAATATTTTAAATACTAGTATGTAAATCTTAACTGTAACGCCGTTGGTTTCTAATAAATAAATAAATAAATAAAACCAGTCTTAATCCCGAATTTCTTTTTGGAGATTTTTGATAACTTCTCAAAAACTGTGCAAGTTAGAAATATTGCTTTATTTTACTATATTACTCATATATATTCTTAAATTTGATTTTCTTCTTTTTTTTATAAACTATAATTATTTCAGAGTTTTTACTTCATAAACTTTGAAAATAAAGGTGGGGGAATAATTTTTTTATATATATATATTTGGTCATATATCAAAATCAACATGGTATAAAAATAATTAAAAGGTAGTTTTAAAATTCACAAATGAAGTTATTCCATATATCTTACTAGTCCAATTTCAGTTGTAATAAGGTTATTGTGAAATGTTTTCAATTATTTCTTTTGAAAAAAGTATGTGCCAACGATTTCTAAAACTATGATAAATTTTAGGTTGATGGCATTATTAATTGCTGAGATAAAACGCTATGGCAGAAGGACAAACTCATACGCAATATAAAGGTTTCTTTATATCATTTTGTTACGGATGAAAGCAATTTTGTAAGGTTCTATTAAAGTTGCATAAAAATTGCCAAAATTTTCGTAATTTGATTATAATTATTTTATGTAGCCTAAAGTTACTAATTTTTTTTTTAGTTAGGCTATATTGCCAATCGTAATAGCTTAAAACGCACAAATTGCTGAATCTGGCAGCACTTTGCGAATTCACAATATGAAGTGAAACTTGACAGTAAATATGCGTCAATTTAGTAAATGGTACCATAGACTTGGGATTATATATATATATATATATATATATATATATGTATATGATAATTTACACAATATGAGCTCAAAGCTGTTTTGGCAAAAGTATGATCAAAATAATTTCTGATTATTTTCACGTATGGAAGTGGAATTAGTTTTAAGTAGATGTGCCTTATTTGAATATAATATAAATAACTGAGAAAACATGTTACAATTACATGTTTTACGTGAAAATATGCTTAATATTTACAATCTTTAGAACCATAACAAATATTTTGTAAAAGAATTGACAGAGAAAATTATCACATTAAAGCTAATTAATATTTTTAAGTATTCAAATTAAAATAATAATAAATACTTATAGTATTTTTATAAATTTTAACTTCATTCGTTAGAGATTGCTAATAAGTGTCAAAGTCTTCTTTAATCTGTGGCTCAGGCTCACTGTCATTGTCACTCAGTTTGTCATTTTTTTAAAGTACTTTTTGATATTGTGACTATGTTTTAGTTTTAGTTTGAAATTATAAATATTATTTTTGTTCTGTTTATACATTTCATTTATTTTTTAACCATGCTAGGCCTATTTATGTACATATTTGAAGTGAAAAAAGAACTATTAGTGGGTTTTTCTATAACTGTAATATATATAACCTATTATCTTATTGAGGCAGTCAAGGTAAAAATAATTATTTATTTGAAAATTCCTATTTGACATTAATAATGATAAAAGCATATAGTTTATTTAGTTTCACTATATATATTAAATTTTATTTTTACATTTTGTCAGTGTACATGGCTTTTAAAAATAATATTAAATGTCTTTATACAAATGACCTTACTTTAGTCATAATTTAGAGTCATTGCAGTTACGAGAGTTTAAAACTTATCTAGTTACTTTTATCAATGAAGTCCTTGCATTAGTGCTTCTAAGATTCCTATAATAATAACAACCATTGTATTGCTCTGCAATTATCACTATGTGACTATATTTATTAAAAGTAATTTTTTAATTTACCTGAGCATGTTTCTTGGAACAAGCTGAATAGTTTTATGAATATTTTATTATATTAAGACATCAATACAAATGATACTTTTTACACTTGCAATTCATATTATTGTTGTCTAATTAATACACAAAGTGAATGAAGGGAAAGAGGAGGGCTTCTCTATCTTCCTACAAGGAAATATGAAGAAAACTATTATTTTATTGATTATAATTTTTTTTTATTTATTAAATTAATTTTTTAATGTTCAATTATCAAATTCTGTAAATTATCAATTTATCATTTGTGACTTCTATTCCTCTTCTTAATTCTTCATATAATTTTTTCCTAAATATTTCCAGTGAGTCACAGTAGTGACATTCACTAATTACAATTTTATATCTGAGTCTGTACTTTTAAAATTTTAATAACTAGAATATTGAGAAAAATACTAAAATTTTGAGTTAATGAGTATTTCAAAGTTAACAAGGAATTTAAAGTGAAGTGGATTTTTCCAAAGTCATTGATTTAAGGAATTTAAAGATTGTATAAATATTTTTCAAGTTCAAATAATGAACCAAATATATTGTCTTCACATTTACATATGCAAGGGGAACAGAATGAGTCACACTAACCTATAATTTGCCTAGTGCCCACCCCAGGATACATATGAGTGATAATATGTCTAAGAGTTTATATGGGACTACATTAAGAGGTCTGGCCTCCCCTAGACAATGTTCTTTGAAACTACCTTAGACGGAAATAATATTTTGTTTGAGTTACAAAAGCTAATTAATTATTATAGGATTCAGCCGAAGCGAATGACCAATTTTTTTACTTATTTATTTTAAAGATTTAGACTTATCAAGTTTTGAGTTATCAAAGTTCTAATGTATATGTATTCACACTAATCTTTGAAACTGCTCAATTTTAATGAATTTTGTAAATGTTTGCTTTGATAGTTACAATAGCTTTCATCCCAATAAGAATCAAATGGACCACCAAGGTTCCTTTCTACTTGCAAAATCAACATGGAACATTACAATGCCTATGTACAACATCACCTATTTTGGTGGTGTGATAACATATTGCTTGTCAGTAATTGACAGTATTATGAAGGTACTATAAAAAGTATTATTGGTTTATACAAAATTTATGGTTGCCAATAAATTATGATACACTATATGGTTACTAAGATTACTTAACAGATTAGATTATTTTTGTAATATGATTACAATGTAACAAAATATTCATTGATGGCATGAGAGCTTATTTGTACTCACAGCAGTTATTATAATTAATATTTGAAAAGAAAGAAGGAAATGTATTAATTTATTAATACACTAAAATTAAGCACTTTGTGCTTAATATGTCTTTATCAAATGTTGGTTCATATTAGTGAGTACATCATCGACAGTGAATTTGATGCTACTTGTTTCATAGACACCCATATGGTAAATATTGTGCATCCACATATAGATTATTCTTCTAAATATATTTTGCAAACAATAAACAAAACAAGCAGTTTTTTTGTTTCATTAAAAAAAATGGCAGCTTCAATCATAACGAAATGAAAGTGGCACTGACAAAGTAAATAAATATTGGTTGCAAAAAGAACTGTGAAAATCAGTTCAGCATTTTGTGGCTGAGGAAATATAATATGGCATTGACAGCTTCCTGAGGCTATCAATGTCATATTAGCTGAAGAAGAGAAATGAGAGTATGCATAGAGAGGTCCTAAAATGTGACAAAGGATTCATCCCTCTTTCTCTAACTAAAGAGGATCGGCAGGTTGAAGTGCAACTTGAAATGCCTCTCAACAGGACCTTAAAGACCTTCACGGGCTGTACGTCAACACAAAGACCACCATGCACTCTCTAAAATTGGTGATCTCTTCGGAGCGGAGTGAGGGTTTTATCTGTACAATACAGAATCGAGTAGTTAAGACGTCAATTACCATAAGCACACTCTGAAGGTTGGCTCAGTGCCATTCTTCAGAGTGTGACATCCGTCAGGCATGTCGCCATCCTGTAGAGCTTTCGGGTTGTTTTGGTTTGCCAACACTGAATACTTGCAAAAAGATAATACGGTAGCCAGAATACTCCATCAAGAGAGTTCTCAAGTATAGCTTCGTGAATGAGAGATTGCTATACTATAAAAACGAGTGACTTCCGGTCTTCGAAAGTAACAGCGTCAAACTATACTGGGGTCGATCCATCATTACGGACAGAACAGTTTCTGGGAACAAACCTGGTACTGTGGTGATTCATCGGGTTTTTGGTGGATACCTACTTTGCGAGTTGCAACATGTGATTGTATAATTCGTATACACTTATACCTACCAGTATTCGAGGTGTGAATTTGGTCACTGTTAAGGACATTTTTTTTTTCTAGAAACCAATACTGATATGTCGTAAAGGGGATTTTCGTCAGTTTCTGGAGGAAAATGTGCCGCTGCTAGATGAACACTACTGGCCGACGCCGTGGTGCGTGGAGTCGCACCTGCAGACCGTGCTCGGGTCCATACTGCGCTCGCACCTGTTGCCGCCGCAGCGCTACCGCCGGTAAGTGAGCGGCCGCTCGCCGCATCTCGTACGCCGCCCGCTGGCCGAGCGCCGCACTCACGCCACCGCCGCCTGCAGGGAGGTGCTGCAGCTGTCGGACGGCGGGCAGGTGGCGCTGGACTGGGCCGAGCCGGGCGCGGAGGACGCGGAGGACGCGGGCGGCGCGGCGCCCGTGCTGCTGGTGCTGCCCGGGCTGACGGGCGGCGCGCACGCCGACTACGTGCGCTGCCTCGCCGCCGCCGCGGCCGCGCTGGGCGCGCGCTGCGTCGTGTTCAACAACCGCGGGCTCGGCGGCCTGCCCATCACCACGCCGCGCCTGTACTGCGCGCTGAGCCACGCCGACCTGGCCGAGGTGGTGCGGGCGCTGCGCGCGCGGCCCGAGTGCGGCGCGCTGCTGGCGGTGGGCGTGTCGCTGGGCGGGCTCATCCTGGGCCACTACCTGGCCGAGCAGGGCGAGCACGCCGGCGTGCAGGCGGCGCTGGTGGTGTCGTCGCCGCTGGACGTGGTGCGCGGCGCGGAGTGCATGCAGCGGCCGCCGGCGGCGCTGCTGTCCTACCACATGGCCCGCAGCCTGCGGCGCACGGTGGCGGCGCACGCGGCGCTGCGCGCGGCGGCGCTCGACTGGGACGCCGTGCAGCGCTGCCGCTCCGTGCGCGAGTTCGACGCCGCCTTCACCACTAAGCACTTCGGCTTCGGCTCCGTCGACGCCTACTACCGCGCCGCCTCGCTCAGCGACAAGCTGCACCGCGTGCGGGTGCCGCTGCTGTGTCTTTGCGCGGCTGACGACCCCTTCCAGCCGCTGCATGGTGAGTTTACAATCCGCATCTTTTCTAGTGAAAGATTTTGTTTTCGAAAATCGATTTACAAAATAGTTGGTTAGATTAGACTTTTCGTCGCCGAAAAATATACTCAGGAAAACGGTGCCCTCGTTGTTTAGTTATTTTGGAGGAGTGCCGTTTAAAATTTACCCAGAGGCGTTAGATAGGCTAGGGCCAGCCCTGGACGTACTCACACATACGACCGAGCAGGGGAACAGTTAAGAACGAAAAGTTCCAATGTATTACGGGGTTCAAATCTTCTATAAAAACGGAAGGTAATTGGGCTACTATTGTAAATGTCACTGAGGATGACAAACGGGATCATTCGATGAAAAGAAGTAATCATTGTCGAAGTGAGCGAGGCACGGTAGTGCGTCTAAGTGCATCAGTATTGCTAGATTAAGCGATTTTTCGTCTTTTAGGCTATCTCGAAGGGTGTCGGATGATTGAAAATTGCGATCGGTGACCAGTCGTCATTCGAGCTAACTTCAAAGAAATTTTTTTCTGGAAATTTATGTAATTTGTTATTCTTATAATTGATGATAATGGAATGGTAATCTCGTCTGTGTCGTCAGTATACGCCGGCCGGGCATCAGTGAAGTTAAGGGATCATAGATGAGGAGGCAAACAGATCGAGGCCCACTCCTAACGAATCCATTAAGAAATTAAAGTTTCTAGACGGACCGCATGGAAATCGGCTAGTAATCGTGTACTAGCAGTGTGCAACTTGCACTACTAATAATCCTTATTAAGATTTAATCACATCGGCCGGCAGGTACTACAGAAAAACATTTCTAATTTCTTCGCTGGGCGGTACGAGGCGGGTGTTAAAAATTTCTAAGTGGGCCTTTCAGTCTCAGTGGGATACGAAAAACGCCTCATTCGCCCGTAAACAAAATTATACAGAGGAACCTTTTATATTTTGACTTTGGCGGGACTCTGGTGTGGCGAGGAGGGGAGGGCTAGGTTACGGGGCAAATTAAGGCTGCCCGCGCAAAAGAACATCCGGCGAGGCGAGAGTGTAGCGTGCGGTGGCGCGGCGGTGGTTGCAGTGATGCCGGCGGCGCAGGCGGCGGCGAGCGCGCGCGTGGCGCTGGCCGTGACGGCGCGCGGCGGCCACATCGGCTTCCTGGAGGGCTGGTGGCCCGCCGGCCCGCCGCGCGCGCAGTACATCGCGCGCCTCGCGCACCAGTACTTCGCCGCGCTGCTGCGCCGCCGCGACCTGCTGCACCGCCCGCCGCCACCCGCGCCCGCGCCCGCGCCCACAGCCTGACCCGCCACCTGTACGCTCTCTCCGTCGCACCCGTCCTTGTTACTTTACGCTACAATCAAGGCGGCCGTCCGCAGCTCGTCGTGGACCCCCCTCGCCGTGACGACGCGACCGGTGCTCGTCACACTCGTAGCTCCACAAAAACGCTACTCGTCACAGGCGCATACCGTTGCTCATCTTTCCACGACTGCGAGTGGGTATCAGATATCTCGCCTTTTTCCATTCCTCGGGGTCAGGTTTCCTTAACATGCGGCGCCGTCTATTCCTGTTACCTGCATCCTTCTCCACAAGATTCAATCGTTTCATATTCCTGTGAACCGTTGCTAACCGTGTCGCTTGACGTCTTCCCCTTTCCCTTTTCTTTGTATTCATTCATGAAAAGACACTTTTCCAGGGCACGGTCGTCACTTCGCAGAACGCGAAGTGACGCCAAATTCATTTCAAGTAAATATTTCTTTCGCGATAGTAAAAAAAATATAATTATCGCTATAGTGACCGAGTGCGTAATTTGACAACAGTGGCGAGCTGCGGCTGTAACAGTCTGGGTATATGACGAGCTGTGTACAGTGGCCTGCCGCGTGTTCAGTTCTTGATCCATTTATTCATCACAATGTACATGTTACCATTGACACGTGGCATTATTAATTATTTAATAACTTTATATGTGGCATTTTACACGGCGAGGATAAAGACGTCTCATTTTTAATGTAAAATAATCAGCGGCCTCTGTTGGAGCCGACTTAGTATTAAACGCTTTGAGCATAAGTATTTGGTAAGAGTGCATGCGAGGTGCGACGGCGGTCTCTGTGAGAGCGCGCGGCGTCTCGTCGCTCGAATTGTTTGCACACTTAATGCATTTTTTTTATACAATTATATAATAAGTGGTGTTCTACATTTCGAATGATTTATAATTTTAATAGTATCTATCTATGAATTAATGATCTCGCTGTCGCTGAAACTAACGAGCTCTGTTGATCACCTGAAATCAGGTACAAGTAATGAACGCTTTAAGAAATTATTATTGTTTGAAATTGTTTTGTCTACTTATATACATCTGTGATGTGACATATAGTTCAATTTAGTCCAAAACATGTCCAAGTCGCGCGAGTGCCACGCTCTACAGCTGAATATGTACTTGGTACGTGGTTGCACAGTGAGCACGGCCGCCTACCGGGGCTCGCTCCTGAATCAGCCGAAGACGCGCCAGTGTGAATAGTATCTATAAATATCTCATTATAATAATTGGAGGTTCGTTTTCGATTGTATGAAAAATGTGGATTGTGATGGTAAAGGCTGCCTGTGCGAGGCCTGCGCCCCGGCCGGGAAGGCCGTCGCTCGGCTGTGGGACCTGACTGTTGTTGTAATTTTATATACATATATGTTGTCGAAACCAATAGTACGATATTGTTATTGTATACAGTGACGCGCGCTGTACTGCTGCCATGCACGCTACGACCGGTAGTAGTGCAGGGTGCGGATATCGGAGGAATTCATGTGTTAACAACGTGCACGCCTGCATTTCCAGCATTTTGATTGGTGTATACTCCCTGTGTTGTGCAGACAGCGCCGGCCTACACAGCCGGTGCTGGTCCGTAGCGTTGTATCGTCCTGCGGGTACCTGGGACACGTGTCCCCATTGTCAAAGTAGACGAAACCTTTTGATTTCGTGCTTTTCTCGTCTTGTATAATAAAGAATATTGATTTAGTTTCGTTGCTACAGCGAACTTGCGAATGCAAATAATATGGAGTATCTCCTTAATTTTACACGAGTGACGTTATTAACGCATGCCTTACCTCCTCCGGTATTTCCAATGAAAATTTCACTAGTTAAATTATAATTGAATAATGAATTTGTAAAGTTTATACGACTTGTTTGCACTGTAAACGTTTGCAGTACGGTAGAGTCCCCCCGCGAGGGGCAGCAGCCGCCGCGCCGGGACAAGCGAAACACTAGTGTATTTAGTATGAGTTTGTTGAACGACGTTGAGTATTCTTCGCCTTTTTCAATAACTTTTCTTAAATATAAGGCCTAATTCGTGGTTAAAGAAGTATCTATAGATAAATTTAAACGAGAACTTGGAAAAAGGCAATGCGAGTAATAATTTAGATGGTGCTTGCAATCAATACATTTAACATATCATCGATATGTACGTATACTATCTAAATCGCTCTTAGTCATTCAACGGTCGACTCGTGCATGACTAATCCGACTATAAAATGTACGATAATTGAAGTTATTAAAAACTGGCATTTTTTTTTTTTTTTTACAACACAGGGGGCAAACGAGCATGCGGCTCACCTGATGGTAAGTGACTACCGCCGCCCATGATCACCCACAACACCTACGGCATTGCAGGTGTGCTGCCGGCCTTTTAAAAAGGAATATGCTCTTTTCTTGAAGGTTATGTTGTCGTATCGGTTCGGAAATACTGCTGCTGGAAGTTGATTCCAAAGAGTGGTTGTGCGTGGGAGAAAGTGCCTTGAAAAACGCACGGTGGAGGACCGCCACTTGTCCAGATGGTTGGGATGAAATTTTAGTTTATGGCGGGTTGTACGATGGTGAAAATCTGCAGCAGGTATCAATCCGAACAATTCTTCAGAGCACTCCCCATGATAAATTCGGTAGAAAATGCACAGAGATGCAACATCTCTACGCAGTTCCAGTGGGTGGAGCCGGACAGTAAGACGCCGATCGTCAACAATTCGAGCTGCCCGACTTTGAATGCGGTCTAACGGAAGGAGTTGGTACTGTGGCGCTCCTGCCCACAGGTGAGAACAGTATTCCATGTGTGGCCTCACTTGAGCTTTATATAGTTTCAGGCGGTTTTCTGGCGTGAAATACCGTCTCACCCTATTGAGCACCCCCAACTTTTTGGAAGCTATCTTAGCTTTTTCCTCCAGATGACCGCAAAACTGGACGTCGCTAGATATATCGACGCCAAGAATCCCCAGACTCGACTTATTATCGAGGGAAGTGCCCCGAAAGTAAGGAGATACGACAAACGGTGTCTTTTTTGCGGTGAACGCGCAGACTTGTGTCTTCTTAGGGTTAAAGTGAACAAGATTGCGTTCACCCCAGATCGAAACTTTGTCGAGCGAAGTTTCGATTTCAGACACAAGTCTGTTCCGGAGCTCATCGGTATGTGCCCGCGAGATCTTTGCATGACCGGTGTATAATGCATCTCCTGTACTGTCGTCTGCATAACAATGAATATCACTGATCTGTAACATATCATTGATATGCAGAAGAAACAGTGTCGGAGATAGTACACAGCCTTGCGGGACACCAGCATTCACAGGTTTGAAGTCAGAGCATGCTCCGTCGACTACGACCTTAATGCTACGTTCCTTAAGAAAACTGGCGACCCAACTGCACAATCTCGCAGGCAACCCAAACGAAGGTAGTTTTGAGATTAGTGCCCTATGCCACACCCGATCAAAGGCTTTCGCAATATCCAGACTAACAGCTAAGGCCTCTCCCTTATTCTCGATTGCCACCGCCCATCGGTGTGTTAAATAAACTAAAAGATCACCAGCCGAGCGCCCCCGTCGAAAGCCGTACTGGCGATCTGAGATCAGCTGGCGATCCTCTAGGTACCGGAGCAGTTGATGGTTAACAACTGATTCCATGACTTTCGAGAATAAGGAGGTGATAGCTATGGGCCTATAGTTAGCTGGATCTGAGCGGTCTCCTTTTTTAGGGATCGGATGCACCAAAGCAGTCTTCCAAAACTTTGGGACTATACCTGATGAGTAACAGAGCCGAAAAAGACGCGTAAGAACCGGAGCCAACTCTGGTGCGCACGTCCTAAGCACAATTGGAGGAATGCCATCGGGCCCACTCGACTTATGGATTTCAAGGGAGAGAAGTGCTCTACGCACTGATCTTTGCGTGAATTTAACATCCGGCATAGAGCTCTTACAACGCGGGATGGTCGGCGGTGGTTTCTCCCCGTCATCCAACGTCGAGTTCGATGCAAAGAGAGATCCAAGGAGATCAGCCTTCTCTTTGGCGTTCAGAGCCAATGAGTTATCCTCCCTGCGCAATGGTGGAAAAGATGACTGACAGAAATTCCCTTGTGCAGCTTTGGCAAGAGACCAGAAAGCTCGAGACCCCGAAGGTAAACTAGCTAATCTCTTGCCAATTCTACCAATATGCTCTGACTTCGCTGTGGCCAAAACTCTTTTGAAGGACCTAGAGGCAAAGTTATACTTCTTTTTAAGGGCACTGATGTTAGGATCTCGCGACGCCACACCTTTGGCCCAGGCTAGGAAGCACTCCTGTTTCAGGCGAGATGCTATTCTACAAGAGGCTCCATACCAGGGCTGGGATTTCCCACCGACAGGTACCACAGAGTTAGGAATAAATAATTCCATTCCCTGAAGCACCACATCGGCGATGGAATTGGCGATGGCGTCGGGGTCCCTTAGTGCGAAGCAAACCTGCCTCCATGGGTAAGATGCTAAAAAAATCCGCATCTCATCCCAGTCTGCCGACCTATAGTGCCAAACACGACGTCTACCCGTGGAACGTGGTGGAATCGGACTCATGAGAGGCACCTCGCTCCGCACCAGACAGTGATCCGACGATCCAAGCGGAGCTTCGACGGAAATCACATAGTTGTCTGGGTGGGTGGTCAGCAGAAGGTCCAACAGTGAAGGTGAATGGTCCAACACATCAGGTATTCGCGTAGGCGAGGAAACAAGCTGCGTCAGACCATAAGCCAAAGCAAAGTCATGAACAGATCTTCCCGCATAGTCGGTTGTACGTGAACCAAGCCATTCGGTATGGTGGGCATTAAAATCGCCAAGAATCACGACTTCAGCGGAAGGAATCTGTTCGAGCAGGGAATCTGTAGTCATTTGGACGTGCTCAATGAGTTGGTCGGTTTCGATGTTACCGCTGTGGGACCTGTATAGGCATGCATAGACGCGAGGATGGTCATTGCAGTCTACGCGCAGCCATAAAATAGACAGGTCCGCACCTTCAAGAATTCCAAGGCGGCGACAGCAGATATCCTCTCTGACATACGCGCATACACCGGCACGCGAAACAAAACAATGTTCAAGTTTATATCCCGGGTACGTTAGGTATGAAGTTTCGTTTGGAGAGGATATCTGTGTCTCCGTTAGAAAGAGCAATGCCGGCCGCGCCGTTTCTAGGTGGTGGTGAACAGCGTTTAAGTTAGAATGTAATCCCCTGATATTGCAGAAGCTCACATTGAGCGAAGGGGATGCCGTAGAAATCTTGCTTCGTTTGCCCTTGGTTCCAAAGAGCGGAATTTTGCCCCCCCCAGAATACGCAGGGCAGCCCGAGCGTGGTTGCTCGAGAGAGGATTCTCCAGCAACATGGTTACTGGTACCTCCCTGGGGTATGTTATTTTTTTTTAATTCCACTGCCATGGTTGCGTGTTGTAAGATAGGGGGACGGGGTTGGGGAAAGGATTTTAGGAATAGGAAAGGCATGTATTAGAATGTATGGATGTGTACTATATAGGTAACCCGATATTCGATGCGATGATACTCGGTTTACTGTCAAGTTGGCCTTTACCAGTGAAGTGAGTAATTATCCTGGAGGAGGGCATTATTGAAGGCGTGACCACGCCAGTGGTTGCAGTGACGCTGCACAACTCGTCGCCGAGTTACACTCGCCGACGTCGATTTTACATTTGTGACACTACAAGCTGTTTCCATGTTTGTTTATATTTAACATGTATTAAAAAGTATTGTTGTTAAAAAGTGTCTTATGTTTTTGTTTGACATATATTTATATATAATTATATGTACGTTGTTGTAGATGTCATCTGTTTATAATTTGTTGTATTAATAATATGTTAACAATATTGTAATTCTATTGTGTTGTACGAATTATCGAATGTTACTGTTATGATTATTTTATAATGCCGTCGCGGTTATCGTTGCTAGTTCGTAGTTGGACGTTGGATACAGTTTACGCCACCTCATATACATACTTAGGTATGTACACATATTCAAAAGTTATACGATTTTTAAAACGACACCATCGTGTGCGTTACATCTCGCGAACAGCTGGCAGTGATAAGGTCGTGACGTAATATTATCACTAAGTATAAATACCTAGATAGTTAGTTGATAATTTTGAGTGTACAAAATGTAGGCATTACGCTTGTAGCGTAGCGCACATTTTGCACACCAAACAGTACAGATAATTCTGTTTTGTGCCTACAAATAAAAAAGTAAAATATTGATTGTTATGGTTATTCTATCAAACGATGGTGGGGGAGTCGCGAGAATAGTGCCGGGTATGTAATTTAAAAAATATACGCACCCGGCCTGCAGGTAGTGTGATGTATGTATTTAGGTACCAGATTTGTACCTGTTCACATGCGTCATATGTACGCCGGTTACTGTACGCCCAATATCAATGTAAAGTGTACAGCGCTCGCACCCACGGCACCACGCCACCACGCCACCACGCCACCACGGCACCACGCCACCACGACAGTTCGATAGAATAACTGATACACATTTTATTTAGTATTAGATTAAGATGCCAGGCATTTGCGTGTGATAATAGTTAGTATTTAGCACAAATGTTGTGTGTGTGTGTGTGTGTGTGTGCGCGTAGGATTACACGATACGCTTTTATATGATTTCTATGATTGCACACTCGGGATAAGAGTTTTGTATCTCGATTTATATGGGCCTTAGTAGATTCAGTAGCACTGGTGTGAGACACACTGGCTGTCTGACACGTGATTGGTGTCTCGTACATATTATTCATTATATAAAATTTACAGAGTAATTTTAAATTAGTAATTACGACGCGACATCGATAAATCGAATATGATCGCTTGTACTAGAAAACAAACTTTGATGCGTAGTACAAGATTGAAAGTAAACTCAGTTGGAGACGTGTCCTGTTCTCGATTGAAGTTTAATATGAGACGACATGAACCGGTCTAATTTAGAGGTGCTATTGTGAGGGCCACCCTTCTGCCTTCCTGTATGTATTAAAAAAAATCGCTTTCTAATTGCTTACTTGCCGAATACGAACATGAGTGAACGGGCAAAGCTCGCCCACGCGAATATAGTCGTATCAGGGCCGTGCTGTCGATCAGAGGATTGTACTGTCTCACATCAGTGGCTAGCTGGGCACGTGACTAGTGCGTGCATGTCACATGTAATTATAATATACAATTGTAACACGCGGAGTGCGCTCGTTGGGTGCGGTGGCGTGCGGTCGCGTGTGCCCACGTGTGGCTGCGTGTGCCCACGTGTGGCCGCGTGTGCCCACGTGTGGCCGCGTGTGCCCACGTGTGGCCGCGTGTGCCCACGTGTGGCCGCGTGTGCCCACGTGTGGCCGCGTGAGCCCACGTGTGGCCGCGTGTGCTCACGTGTGGCCGCGTGTGCCCACGTGTGGCCGCGTGTGCCCACGTGTGGCCGCGTGTGCCCACGTGTGGCCGCGTGTGCCCACGTGTGGCTGCGTGTGCCCACGTGCGGCCGCGTGTGCTGCCTCACACAACTGCAATCTCCGCGTCCAAGTGCCTCAAATATGTTGAACGGTTATATGCTATAGATTATTTACTAAGTATATTATCATATACATTCCGGCTCGCCGCGCACAAGCGCCGGACACTCGTTGTGAAGCTATTGCTATTGCTCCGGCCGTGGGTGAGCACGGCGGTTGTTTCTAATGAGCAGATTTAATGAGAAACCCCTAGGTGTATACTTAACACAAACATGTGCAATATGCTTGAATTTCTGGAGTTGGTTCACAGTAAATTTACGCGGACGTAGTCCATTCATGTCCATTACGTGACTACTACAGAGACCCAACTGTTAAATATGAACTTATGAAGCGTTCAAGCAGTACACGATGCCCTTTTTTTTGTTAGTCTAATAAATATAGGTAGGTACATAGTACGGATTCCGTTTGATGGCATTTTTTTATGGATGATAATGAAATGGTAATCCCGCCTGCGCTATCGGTTTATACCGGCAGGGCACCAGTAATAAATGACAGGTGAGGATGAAACTGGTCAGTTAGTCCATCGTGACAAATTCCACAAGAATTGTTCACGATGGTTTCCAGGGGGAACCACGTGTATATTGTTAACAATTGGGCGTTTAGACCCCCTTATTAACAACCCCTTCCCCCTGCGTGATGGCATTGTATTGGCCGCGGTGTGTATTATGTATTATTTGTGTACCTATATCATTGGCCTGTTTAAGATAATTTATCAAGGGAGTATGTCTTTAATAAAAGGCGCACATGTACTCCTAGATACGTCTCTGCCCATAGCTGAGAGCGCTGCTCCTGATCCTGGGTGGGCTCGGTGCACCTGCCTCCCTTTAAATATGCTTACGATGTACGTGTCGGTAGCCTTCCTCTTACCTGCGCCACCACTCCTTTCATCTTCAAAATGTAAACAATATACAAGGTCAAAAAGAAAGAATATTTTTCTCCAGAGAATAACTAGTGGCCTTAGTGGGACATTAACCGAGTTATTATGGTACGAAAGTGCCCGGGCTCTCTGGCGGTGGTGGTGGTACAGCCCTACGGGTTTCTCACTACATCTGAACGTTCATTCCATTTCACCAGATATGCGCATGATCTGGCTCAAAGCAGGTGACCGGATGACGTTTACTGACGCGTTGCAACGAATCGCTCCTCACTCATATCCGATCAGTATATTGCGTGTCATTAGTGATATTGTAACTTAACGAAATCGCACCAACAATAGAACGGCGCTAGATTGAATACGCTTTTAAATTAAGCACTAAATATTGTCTATAGACAAGCCAGATTCACTTACGCGTATTTCCTTCGAGAATATTCGTCTAGTTTTGAGATTATCGCGCACCCGTTATTATGAGCTTTAATATGTAAAGTCATTTAGTTTTTTCTTACAGTTAAAATATAAATATTACCTATGTATGGTTATCTACATATATACAGACTACAGAACAAAGTTTTTAATATATACATATATGCAAACGTATTTAGTTAATATTACTCTCCCTGAGCTACATATATTGATTATGTTAAATTCTTTTTCTGTTATATGTTGTAGCACTCCAGCTGCCCGCTAACAACATGCTTTCTAACTGCATTGGGTTGACTGGAAGAGATCTCTGTCAGAGATAAGTCCACCCTTGCTCACAATATTTATAAATGCATTAACAATGTAATTTACAAGTGCAATAAAGAATATAATATGTATGGAGGTAATTAAACGTTTGTTTGTGACACACCTGGAACACTTACACGAGGTAGCGCCCTGTGTCCCGGCCACTCTTGATTAGATTTTCTATAAGGTGAACTATTTAAAGTGTGAAGTCACATACAAATCAGCAGCGATGGTCTCAAGCGTAGCTTACATTAATGTATTCTTTCAGTGGCGCCACCTATTGTAAATGTTCTAACGCTACTCGACATCAAAGTGCAGTACTGAGTTTGGTCAATCACCATTAGAATGTATCCATTAAAACTTTCACATTAGACAGTCAGAAGTGAAAGCAAAGGTTTGTTTGTGATGTTGGGTAACACTGCACATATCAGGATAAGAGGTTGGCTTGGAATTTGATATCACTTAGGTACCTATGATTGTAAATGGCACAATAGTTTACAGAAAAGTAAGAGCTTTATTTGATTGATTAAATCCCAAATAAACGCGAACCAAATAATACACAATGCAGTTTCATTTCATAAAATAATATCACCAGAACAAATAACATTCCTTCTACATGTGGGAACTGGGAGAGATGATTATCAGTAAAGGGATCTAATACAAGATGTCAAGTAGATCTCCCCTCTCAAGACCATTTATTTTATAACACAAGGGAGTAAACGAGCATGCGGCTCACCGATGGTAAGTGACTACCGCCGCCCATGATCACCTGCAACACCAGAGACATTGCAGGTGTGCTGCCGGCCTTTTAAAAAGGAATATACTCTTGAAGGTTATGCTGTATCGGTTCGGAAATACTATTTAAATACCATCGTGTTTAATTTCCAGTGAATTAATCCTGATGGGCTAACTGACCTGGTTTCATTCTCGGCAATCATCCCTCACTAGCGGAGTCGACCGGGGGCGTTTCGTTTTCATAAAAAAATTGAGAAAGTAGATAATGGCTACGAGTGTAGCTAAGTAATATACGTTGGCGGGCGCCAGTAAGGGATGATCAGTGAAATCGGGTGTTTTTTTTTTATGAGTGAAAATGGTATGGTAACCCCGCCTGCGCTAACGGGATACACTGGCGGAGCACCAGTGAAGGGTGATAGATGAGAATGAAAACAGGCCAGTTAGCTAATCATGATGAATTCATCAGGAATTAACCATGATAGTTTTCAGGGGGAACCGCGAGGAGGTCGACCTGGTTGGGTATATTGCTAGCAATAGGATTCTCAGTCTCCATTACTAACAATCCCTTTCCCCCCCTAAATCGTGTCAGTTGACCCACTGTGACAAATTTACTATGATGGTTTCTGGGGTAATTAATAGGGTGCCTATATCGGTAAGATTCGAACGATTCTCCCTTCATTATTAACAATGCTTCCCTCTTAATTCAGAGGCATTTATGTTAATCGTTGACGTCGTGAATGTAATATTTGTCAGGCCGTTTCGCCGAGCGTATTGTTATAATAAATAAATAATAGGCAGCGACATTCGCAATTTAATTTCCTTTATGTTTTGGATAGAGATAGAAGGTATGTGCCCCGGTATAGAATAGGCCACCTCTTTATTTCCCATGGGTGCCGTAAGAGGCAACCGAGTGAACCCATGATCAATGGATGGACAGCAATGCCCCCCTTAATATATCCCTAAGAGCCTAACTACGGTTGCCAATTCGTCTGCGAAGCGTGCCAACTACTGGTAAAACTCCCCTTATGGGGGACACATAGCTTCAGCAGTGGACAGTTAATGGCTGAAATAATAATAATGTTTTGGAAAATTTTACGTAATTTTTAAATATATATGGTATATATATTCAACAATACACTGTGAGGACCATGCTATCTTCAATTGTTTTCATTTCTGAAAAATATAAAGAGTTATTTTTAAGAAGTTTTGCTGTGTGTGTGTGTGTGGATGTCGTAAGGGGCGATTAAGGGAATTTAATAGTCGAGGGATGGGAAGCAGTGTTCCTCTTAAAATGCTCATACTCATCCTCGTCTATAACTATACCCAGGGTCGCCGCGCCAGCGAGCACTGGCAGCGCAGAACAAATGAATAGTACATTTTTTAAAAAAACTAGCAGCATACACGAAACGATCGCTTTATTCGTAACAACTTAATAATATCTACGCGTAATAATTTACAAGTTAGGAATGCTTTCAATATATGATACACGGTACGACGGGAGCGGAGGCTCAGGCTCGAGGGATACTATTTGAGCGGTGGCGGCGGCGGCGGCGCGTCAGCGGCGGCCGAGCGCGCGGCAGAAGGCCGCCACCAGCTGCTCGGCGCGCTGCAGCCGCGCCTCGCGGCCGGCGCGGTCCTCCTCCTCCTCCTCCTCCTCCTCCCGGCGCGCCTCCCCGCGCACGGCGGCCGCGGCCGCGGGCAGCGCGCCCAGCGCCGCCGCGAACAGCTCCGCGCGCTCCACCTCCTCCTCCCCGCCCTCCTCCTCGGCCTCCTCCTCGCTCGCGCTGCCCGCCCACTCCTCCGACGACGACTCGTCCAGCGGTGCTGCATCTGCAATTATACGTTTCGATGCGATTACACAAGAAGGCGAGCGCTTTAGTTCTGTCACAGAATACACCCAAGATGCCTGTGTTTGTAGGGCTGTACACGCTCGTCAAGCCGCCGTATTGGAATAGTCTGGTTTACAATGCACTGTTCAATGTATAAAAACAATAAAAATATCTCTTCAATTATTCTAAAGTCTCCACTTGGTAAATGTACAATATTATATACAATTATAATATTACAATATATTACAAGTAACAATTAACTACGTGAATGTACGCGTACCTACATTTTCTGGGAAAGGATTGTTAGTAATAGGGAAATTGATCCCGGTTGCTAGCAATATAGGTTGTCAAGTCAACCTCCACATAGTCCTCTCTGGAAATCATCATGTTGAATTCCAAGTGTATTAATCCGGTGGACTAACTAACCTGCCATTTCATTCTTACCTATCATCCCTCACTGGTGCCCCGTCAGCGTATACCTTTAGCGCAGACGGTGTTAAGAGCAATTATATTCAAGTAATGCAACCTCTTTACTGTTTTTGTATGATACATTGTTTTGACAGTTTATGTAAAATTAAAAATAATATTCAAATTGTCAATATGGAAAAAATGCAAACTTTGATAAAAATGCAGATTTTTATTTAAAATAAATAAAAATACATTCACGGCATATACATTTTGGTCCTACGAGCCGAACGGATGATTTAATTGCTACCGTTTTAAGTTCTGTGATGAGCTGTGGTATTCAATTGCAAAACGGTAAGAAATATTGCGACGGCCGAGGACGGAGACTCCGCTGCTATCATCGAGTGGTTTTCTAGTATCAATTGCAGCAGTGTGTCAGTCTCTGTATTAGTATCAAGGAAAACTGTGAGTACAATTTGACATTCGACTTAGAAAATATTCTTCGTTTAAATATTGAAACTTAAAAAATTTATTGAAAATGGATGCAAACCTACGAGTTTTAGAAGATATTAAAATTCAAATAGAAAAAGCAAGATTAAATTTTAAAAAAGCGCCGAGGGATAGAATAAATGAAAACTATTTAGAAACAAGACTTCAGATTCTAGAAAAACAATACATAAATTTTACCTCAAAACATGAAAAGTTAATCGCTCTGTATGAACCTAATGTTTTAAATGCTACCGATTATGTCAAGGATGAAGTGTTTGAACTAGTGACTGAAACTTATTTAGATTATAGAGTAGAATTAAAAAATGCTTTATCTAATGTTAAGTGTTGTACCTCAAGTAGTAATTGCGAAGTTTCACCTAACTCTTCTAAGGCAGATTCGTTGGTTAAATTACCCAGAATCCGAATACCTGTGTTCACAGGCCGGTATACTGAATGGACTTCATTCCGCGATTTATTTCTCTCGCTTGTTCACAACAATCCCGTTTTAGATGACGTACAAAAATTGCATTATTTAAAAACCCAACTGTCAGGTGAAGCAGAACAATTGATTAGGCATGTACCGATTACTCAATCTAATTATATAAAATGTAGGAACATGTTAACAGATAGATATAATAATAAAAGGTTTATGTCAAATTGTATTTTAAAGCGACTTTTCAGTCAACGTAACATAGTAGCAGAATCTTCTAGTGCTCTTAAGGAACTCCTAGATACAACCACTGATTGTTTACATGAGCTATCGAATCTTGGTATTGATACGGAGTCCTGGGATATTATTGTAATTTATATTATGGGTTTGAAATTGGACGCTGAATCTCGGAAACAATGGGAATTGCAGGTGAGTCAGTCATCTAAAGATTTACCGTCATTTCAACATTTCAAAGAGTTTTTAGAAACGCGTTTTTATGCTCTGGAATTCGTAAAACCCATATATAAGCCAAAAATTGTTCAGATTAATGCTAATAATCCAAAGGTTTTGCATACTGTGTCAAATATTACATGTCCCCATTGTTCTGAAAATCATAGGTTATACAATTGCAAAAAGTTTTCTAAGGAAAATGTTGATAAACGTCGTAGTATTGCTGAATCGATTTCCTTGTGCTTTAACTGCTTAGGTATTAATCATAATGCAAAAAACTGTCGTGTACTTAACAAGTGTCATGTGTGTAAGCGTAGGCATCACACATTATTGCATCCCAAAGATCAAACTATTGCAGATGTAGTCGATACTACATCACAAGTTGAAGAAGTTGAAGATTCATCTCAGTCAACAGAGACAAATATAGCATCCCATTTTTTGAATGGAAGTAAACGAGGACAAGTCCTTTTACCCACAGCTATTATCAAAGCTGAGTCAAAAAATGGATCAACCCAGGTACTAAGAGCTTTGTTAGACCAAGGGTCACATGCATCTTTTATATCGGAAGCAGCTGTACAACTCCTTCAATTAAAAAAGGTACCTAGTAAATGCATTGTTTCGGGAGTAGGTGGTACTAGTAATGACAAAATTTCCAAAAACGTTGTTGTTGTCAATCTCCAGTCGCGGTATGATCCTTCATTTAAAATCCAAGTAACAGTGGTAGATACAGTAACGTCTTTATTGCCTGAAAGAAAATGTATAGTGTCAGATTGGCCAGATTTGCAAACCTTTCAATTAGCGGATCCTCATTTTAATTCTCCTAATAAAATTGACATTTTATTAGGGGCGGAGGTGTATGGCAATATCTTGAAACCTGGCTTAATGAAAGGTCCAAGTGGCACATTAATAGCTCAGGATACTTACTTGGGTTGGATATTGTCCGGTCAGATATATGAACAGAATTCTTCGCAGGGTTGTCATAATGTCATAGCTAGTATGCATACTCACGCTACTGATGTTGATTTGTTAAAACGTTTCTGGGAGTTAGAAGATGATCCCTTTTCTTATATAACTAACATATTTTCTCCTGAAGAACAGGCTTGTGAAGATTATTATGCAGCAACAACACGTAGGGATGAATCTGGAAGATATGTAGTTAACTTACCTTTTCGCGATGATCCTTCTCTTAAATGTGAAAATTCTAAAGCTATTATTATAAAAAGATTGTATGGGCTAGAACGCAAATTTTTAAAAGATTCAAATTTGAAACGCCGGTGTTCAGGTGTTATTAATGAATATTTGACTTTTGGACACATTGAGAAAATTGCTGAGGAATCGGATAAAAATAAAGTTATTGCAGTATATTTATCTTATTACGCGGTGGTTAAGGAAAAAAGAACGGCTACTAAGGCAAGGGTGGTTTTTAATGCATCGGGCAAGGGTAGTAACGGTATATCCTTGAACGACACTTCAACGGTAGGGCCCACTTTACAGCTAGATTTATGACATATTGTCATGAGATGGCGTAAATATCCAATTTGTATGGCAGCTGACATCGTAAAGATGTGCAGACAAATAAAAGTAGCAGAACAACACGTAAATTTTCAAAGAATTGTATGGCGAGAAAATATTCACTCTGAAATACACGATTATCGACTTTTGACAGACACATTTGGTACTTCTTGTGCTTCGTATCTGGCAGTCAAATCGTTACAGCAAGTTGTTTGTGATGAAGGTCATAATTTTCCATTGGCTGCTGAGCGGGTAAAGTCTGACTTTTACATGGATGATATTATGACAGGCTGTTACATTGAAAAGGAAGATATTGAGATGTGTCGACAATTGAACAAGCTATTAAAAAGAAGTTGTTTTGAATGGCAAAAGTGGATAAGTAACAAAATGCATCTACTAAAATGTCTTGATACAGAAAGAAATAATAAAGAAAGCAATGATAAAGAAAAAGCAAACAATTTTGAAATAAAATCTGATGATGTAACAAAACTAATAGGACTTACCTGGAACCGGAACAATGATGAATTTCATTTCACGGTGAAATCTTCTGAAAATATCGCACCTATAACGAAAAGAAAAGTAATTTCGGGAATTTCATGTTTATATGATCCTCTGGGTTGGGTTGCTCCTCTAAGGTTTTTATCCAAAAACTATAGATTGAAGGTATACTCGTAGATTAGGACGATGAATTGCCTCCGTATCTTCTTCAAAAATCGAAGGCGTATCAAGTTGATTTGTTATCAAAATTAGTACATTTCAAACTTCGAAGACGGCTGAAAAGAAAAAAATTATTATGTAATTATTGAGTTACATGATTTTAGTGATACTTCGAATATTGCAGATTCCGCTGTGGTCATAGATTCCGCTGTGGTATATATTCGAGTCATAGATTGTGAACATAAAATTCATTGCAATTTAGTAAAAGTTAAAACAAAGGTAGTTCCAATTAAACAGATATCCTTACCTCGACTCGAATTATGTGGCGCTGTCCTGCTAGCTAAATTGTTAAGCAAAGTAACTGATCTTTTAAATATTCCAAAAGCAAATATGCATGTGTGGACTGACTCTACAATGGTTTTATGTTAGTTGAGTTATCATCGCAGTCGCTGGAAAACTATTATAGCTGATTGTAATTTAGAGATACATGGCAGATTAGATTCGTCACAGTGATCTCATGTTTCATTGAAAGAAAATCCTGTAGATTGTGTATTGCGTGGTATAACACTTACAGCTCTCTTAGAAAAATCTCTTTGGATGTAATACGTATGTACAGAACCTAGAGGCATGAAACTCGTTTGAAAGAAAGGATTGTAAAGGTTCATGTAACAGATATTAATGCAAATGGTTATACCAAGATAAAAAAATTGAATAGCATAATAACGATCTATAGAAGATTTTTGAAACGAAAAATTTATTAGATATACTACATTTGATATACTTTTTCATAAATACAAATGGGCTAATTGTACAGCAGGATCTAAAGTAGGTGATATAATATTAGCAATGGAAGATAATCTTCCACCAGCTAAATGGTTGTTTGACCAAATTACAGAGTTGCATCCAGGAAAAGACGGTATCACTCGCGTAGTTAGCTTGTATTGCAAAAATTCGATAATTAAGCGTCCAATTTCAAAACTTTGTTGTTTACCAGTGATGGACGGAATGTTAAATGTTTTAATGCTTTATTGTGTTGTCTCTGAAATATGTTGTTTTTAATTTTATGAGTTAAATAGCTTTTTATTTATCTATTGTTAACTGGTCTTGGGGTTAAATATTTATGTAATACAGCAATATGTTATGGTTAATTTTCTAATACTTAGGTTATGGACTATTCGTCCATGGCGGGCGGAATGTTAAGAGCAATTATATTCAAGTAATGCAACCTCTTTACTGTTTTTGTATGATACATTGTTTTGACAGTTTATGTAAAATTAAAAATAATATTCAAATTGTCAATATGGAAAAAATGCAAACTTTGATAAAAATGCAGATTTTTATTTAAAATAAATAAAAATACATTTATAGCATATACAGATGGGGTTACAATTCCATTATCAAACATAAAAAAAAATTGAGAATAAGAGACTTAGTAACTTGGACGAACGAGTGAATATGACATGGGGAACTAGGAAATCAAATTGTTCATGATGATAGATCGGAGAAGAAGGGAAAACAATATTATATGAAAATTTTGATACTCTTGGATTGGTAGCCTTTTTTGAATTTGAATTTTGCTCTATAAGCAAAAATATGGCCGTGTTTACCTAAGAACAAGGATTTACATAAAAAGAATGATAAAAACTGTGAATCATATGGTTGCCTCCTTTCTTCTTATGCAAATATAATTAGTAAAAAGAAGACGAAAGATATACTATTAGTTGCTAATTTTGTCAATTCATAGCAGGCTAGCGTATAGAAAATGTTTTACGGTTGTATAACTCTACCAAATTCAGATACACTTGCTTGCATACTTTCTACATAAACTGTGTCCAATATATAATCTAGTAGTGTAAAATTTGTAATTGACAAATAATTGACATATCAAACACTTTCTATACACTAGTCTGTTGCGAAAGTAAAGCAGAGATTTTAAGCAACTTTAAAAAAAAGATTCATATAATTCTACTACGTGACCGTCGAAACGGTTAGCAAACTATTTATCGTGAAGCAAAAATGATGTGTAAACATAAATATGTACGCCTACGAAATATCATAGAGGAAACGTGGACGGCAGACGTGGAGCGGAGGAGCCGTTTAGTTGCGGTGTGGTGCGGTGCTAGCAGTGGCGGCGACTGACCTGCGGCGGGGCCGTCGGTGCGGCGCAGGCCGCGCCAGGCGTGCGCGTGCAGCGCGAGGCGCGCGCGCCGCACGCCGCCGCGCACCAGCTCGCGCCGCGCCGCCGCCGCCCAGCGCGCCAGCGCCGCGCCGCCCGCCGCGTCGCCCGCGCGCCGCGCCGGCAGCGCCAGCCGCACGCCGCGCCGCGCCGCGCCGCGCGCCGCCGCCGCGCGCCGCTGCGCCGTGGCCTCCGTGCACTGCGGGGCCCGCATACACATTACAAAACAATTAAGTACAATTTGATCACTATTTTTATTAAATCTTTAGTCTAAAAGAAAAGACTATCCATCTTAATTACTTTTTAGCCGACTTAAACGAAAAAATTCTCATCTCAATTTATTTTAATATTAGTTACCTCATAGCTTCATCAGGTATAAAACAACATAGAAAATACTTTTTTATCTTAAAGAATATCTTTACAGATTGGTTCATTAATAATTTAATGAAAATTAATTCAACAGTTTAGTTTTTAAATGAAAATAACTAATATATGATAATGAAAATAATAAAAATTATTTTGTCATAATTAAAATCAATTTTCTTTTTGTGGAACATAATTTAATTATTAATCTATTATTTATTAAGTAATTGTTATGCTTTCTACTAGACTCATACTACAACCTATTTTACTGTTATAACAGTGAATAAAAACAAACACAAATGAGTCCCTAGCACATGGATTTTGATCTAAAAAATATGTCACTACTAAACATATATATAAATCAAATTGTTATTATCAACACATTATACCACAAACAAGTTTCACTTGTGTGAACCAGTACATAAGGTATTCTATATGCTGTGTTAGGATACAACTACCTGCATAGCAAATTTCATTTGAATCTGTCATTTCTGTAATGAAAATAAAAAGTAACCCAACCAGTACTGTCAGTATACACTGGTGAGGCACCAGTAAAAGATGAAGATTGATGAATGAATGATGAATGCTTAGTGAAGATGAAAGCAGGTCCATTGACCCAATATGATGAATTCTATAAAAATTAATCATGTGGTTTCCATAGAGAACAGCATAGAGGTTGACTTAATATATTGTTAGCAATGGAGCTTAGATCGATTTCTAACAATGGAACCAATAGATTTTATTATTAATAATCTCTTTCCTCCTGCTTGAAAGAGTAACAAATATTCATCCAGCCATCCATTCTTACAAATGTTCACATTTATAATATATATTAATAGGACAGATATTAGATTACCTCATCTTCTTCGAGATATATAACATGTCCCTCAATTAAATTTTCATCTATTTGCAACTCTTCACCGTCAGCGAGTGGATGAAATCTCACATCTGCGGTATAATATTTATTGACGATTCTCCAAATATACCTTGGGGAGTCTTCATTTCCTTTATCGACATCTGGTGGTTCGTTATCAATTATTTCTGGAAATTAATAAACGCAACAAGTAATTATAAATTTATAGATCAGGACAAAATTATGCACCTCATATTCAATACATGTTTACATTTGATCAAAAATATAAAGCCGCCAAAAAAAGGACGAGGGTACCTACTAAACCATATATTGTTTATATTTATTTAGTTGGATTAATAACAACGATTTAAGTACCTGAAATTACAGCCTGGGCGGTTCTTGTATCTTTCGCACTTACTAAAATAACAGGTAATTTGTCATATTGTGATTCCATGATTCTGTATACTTATTGCAAATATAGATAGTGGTAAATAAAATAAAAATTATAAAAAAATTTTAAAGTTATTTTTTAAAAGTACAGTGAATATATAATATTCACTAATTTCTAAAGTCTGAAATCACTGAAATGAAATTGAAACAGAAAATCTAAACAAAGAAATGTCATTGTCAAAGTGATATCTATTCTTAGTAGGTAGGTATCTGCAATTGTCAACGTCAACATTCGTCTATATACCATAGAACGAGGTAAATATATACAATTTAAAACGTCATATCAATATTTTTCTAGTTAATTTATAAAGTAACTTTTGATGATTCAATATACAATTCGGGATTATAAACTTCTAAATTTGACTATATATTACAAAGATTTCGGAATAGATATATATGGCTGGTTATCTCGCAATCTAGAATGTTTTTATTTTCTACATATCCCGAATTTGGGATGAATAGAAACGAGAAAGGGGGGTCATTAGAAAAATTATAAAATTGTCATTTGATAATTAATGCTTCAAAGGATTATTAACTTTATTAAAATATCATTTGCACTATATAAGAAGCATGGTAGTGATAAAAAAAAATATTGTACCTTACGAATTTTATAATTTTTTTGCGTAGGTATATTCAAACTACAGCTCTTAAATTTAAACTAAATGTTCACTTTCCTGTTATTTTTACCTATTCCAACTTTAAAGTATATTATGTCACTTAACAAACAAAAAACAAAAAGGAATATTAAAAATAAATTGAAAAGAAATAGAACGAGAGGGATTTTAATATTCATGATCATGGATTTATTGATAGGTGCAATTTAATTATTATCTATTTATTTATTTAACTTTATATTCATCTTAGATTTCAACTATCATGTATGTAAATGTTATTGTTGTTCTCTCCGGCTTTGTGGAATAGTTTTAATCCTAAGTCTAAATTTATATTTTTAATAGGTATATGTCTACTTGACATTGATTCCTTTGTCAATGTCAAATCATATAGGCAATTGTAAACTATAATAAACTTCTGTCTTGTTCTGTGTTAAAAGAAGATTAAATAAATTCATAATAATTGCAATTATTTTGGAGATTTCTGTGTTATGTTCAGTAATAAAATATCTCAAGAGTGTATTTATTCATCGTCCATCAACTTCCTGCAGACAGTGTGATATGAAAACATTTTTTTACATATTTATTTAAAGCGTAGTGCTGCGTATAGCAGAACCAAATTGTTTATTTTATCGTTATGTTTTATTAGAAAAGTCCATTAAAACATTATAATGGATAATATAGTATCATGGAGTGCGGAAGATGAGGCAATTATCGCAACTAACACCGACGCCACAGAATGCAAGAGATGCGCAGTGGAGCTAGGCTACTGGAAGGACGACTATATTCCGTATTTCATTAGGCACGTAGACAGAAAGGCACCTGAGATAAATCGTGGGTACTATGCCAGAGTTCGAGCTATGGAGATGTTTATACATCAATTTATAGAGGTCAGTTACAACTGCACAAGTTAAAGCTGCTATGCATTTATTTAGTAGCAGTAACATACTCGTACTCAATTAATTTATATTCTTGTGTGTGTATTAAATCAATGATGGTAATTAATTAATATTTTAGTGTTAAAACTTTGGGAGACAGGTGTGACATATGTATCTATGTAAAACTTTTTTCATATTACAGTATCTAGGGTATACTGTATTGTGTCTAGGACAGTATTAATAATACTATAAATATATAAATAATATAAATATGAAAGTTCATCAATGTGTCAAAAATTTGTAATTTATAATATAAAGCTATAGACTGTATATTGGTCTTCTTAAAAAAAATATATTAAACTCATACTATCTCTTAACTGTTAAATGATTAAGATTAGCATTATTGTGTTCTAATATATATCTGAGTTGAGTAAAGAATATATATGATTACATAAAGCCCTTCCAGGCAACATTGATTATATAATGTAGGGCTCTTAACCAAATCTCTACCTCTAATCTTTTAGTGAACTCTATGAATGATTGAATGAAAATTATATATATATATATATATATATATATATATATATATATATATAGTGTATATACTATTTTAGGAAATACATGTTATTGTCATAATTAGCAATTATGAAATTAGAATAATTTATTCATTTGAGCCTTATTTTTTTGTTATGTAGTTAGTCACAATTGTGCAATTTAATCATAAATAAAATCAAAAAGGTTGTTGTATTTTTTTTTTGGGTGAAGATGGAATGGTAACCCTGTCTGCGCTATCGGTATACGCTGGCAGGGTACCAGTGAAGGGTACAGGTAGGGGTGAAGGTCATTTGGGCCATAGTAATCAATTAAACAAGACTTAACTGCTATGGTTTCCAGGGGAAACCATGTAGAGGTTAACCCGACAGGGTATATTGCTAGCAATGGGGTTGTTAAATCTCATTATTAACAATCCTTTTCCCCCAGATTGTTGTATTATAATACAAAATATATATAAAATTATGCCTACTTGAACATTTTTCTTTTTTTTTTTGGAACTTGGAATGACAAAAAAGTTAAGAGTGATGTATGTATACTAAAACTGAAAAAGAGTTGTAATGGCTGCATTGCCTGGATACAGCTATATAGAGATCACTGAATACTCAGACATTCATTGTAGTAGGTAGGTAGTTACTATTCTTGAGGAATGACTTGTCGGTTTGTATGGAGTCTGTTACTGTGTCACATTTGTATTGTATAGTATTAGTAGGTTGTAAAGAGTATTATTATTCTAATAAGTTTGGATATTTGTCTTTACTTGCAGAGATGTGGAACCAAATGTCAAATTATCAACTTAGGCTGTGGATTCGATACTCTGTTTTGGAGGCTGAAGGATTCCACCCAGGCTGTAGGCAACTTTATTGAGCTTGATTTTCCAGCAGTTACATCAAAAAAATGTCACATAATCAAAAGGAACAAGCAGCTGCTTGAGAAAATAAGTAACGAAGGTAATTTGTAATATATATAGTCACAGAAGTAAATATGTATAGTAAGCGAGGGTCACAGAGAAGGAACCGAGCTACGGAATCCAGTGATAGTGCTGATGAAATTAAATAACCATTCTAGGATTTAGTTGATATTTTGAAATATTTTTTTAATTCATAATAAATAATGTTGATTGACATAGACACATTTAATACTTATAATAATGATATATTTGGATATAGTTTATTGGGAATAGCTGTTGAAGGCGTCCACTATTATGATTGGGTTATCAAGTGTGGGGTAGAGAAGACACACAGGGAAGTACAGGGCGGTGTGTGGGGTTGCAGACGGCGAGGTGATGATCCGCGAGGGCGACCTGCACTCGGACGGGTACCACCTGGTGGGCTGCGACCTGCGCTGCCTGGGCGAGGTGCGGCGCAAGCTGGAGGCGGCGGGCGCGGGCGAGGGCGCGGGCGCGCCGCCCACGCTGGTGCTGGCCGAGTGCGTGCTGGTGTACCTGCGGCCCGAGGCGGCGGACGCGCTGCTGCGCCACCTGGCGGCCGCGTTCCCGCGCAGCGCGCTGCTGGTGTACGAGCAGTGCAACCTGGGCGACAAGTTCGGCGAGGTGATGGTGCGCAACCTGAGCGCGCGCGGCGTGGCGCTGGCGGGCGCGGCGGGCCCGCCGGCGGCGCAGGCGGCGCGGCTGCGCGCGCTCGGCTTCGACGCGGCGCGCTGCTGGGACATGCACGCCGTGTGGCGCGCGCTGCCCGACGACGACCGCGCGCGCGTCGAGGCGCTCGAGATGCTGGACGAGCGCGAGCTGCTGCTGCAGCTCAACTCGCACTACGCGCTCGCCGTCGCCACGCGCTCCGACATCTTCGCCGACATGGACCTCAACGCGTAGCCGTCCGCCCGCCCACCCGCCCGCCCGCCCGCACACTCTACCATATTTCAACAACCTCACCTAGCAACCTACAGATTACTCTTGCAATAGTTCGCGTTATATTATACTTAAATAAAAGTAAACATTTGTAATAAATATAGTAGTGTCTGTAGAATCCCATACCTCTGTACCTATTCTATAGAAAGTTAAGTACCTTCTTTGAGGAACCACTTTATGATAACATTCTTCTTGTCTGTAAGGATTTTCTCGTAGGCGGTTGGCTAGCGAACGGTATCAATCGTTAGACATTTAAAGCAGCGTCTATAATCCTTAATTTAACAGTTTTTATTTCGGCACATCTCAATTTTGCAGATTTTAAAGTTTGAGAGCGATCGTGATCGTGCCCTCGTGTAATGTTTATATTTTTTTCAAGCGTTTATCTAATCTGTATTGTATAATTACAAATAAGTAATGCAAATGAAACCTTTTGATGTGGTGTACTTATAATATTATGTTGAATAAATTATATCAAGAGTTATTTATGTGATAAATTGTGACATTATTTTGTTATTTGTCCCTCGTGTTTATACAACTCTGCAAGCATAAGTTAACAAAGTGTGGCCGAGTTTTCTTTTTCCTTACTTTTTTTATTATTTTAAATTTGGAACACATTTATTATTTTAAAAACTTCTTTTGATTTCGCGCCATTTCACATATTTTTCGTGTTCATTATCAAATTACAATATAAAATGAGGTTTTAACTTTACATAATTTTTTTTAGTGAAATAAATCAAGTTAATATAATTCATGTTCAAAATTAAAAGAAAAATGGTTAAAAAATAAATTTGACAGTTATGTTTTTTTTTCTGCAATGGACGTTAAAGTGAACTTATTCTTTTATATAATTTTTGGGCTTCTAATGTTATGATGGAAATTTCCACTGTAGGATTAAAGAAAATAGGATTGCAGTGATCGTCTTGCACAAAGTGGGTATGGAGCCGTCGGTCACATTCCAGACACTTCAAAAGCTTCAAGCATGGTATCAGCCGTATGTTCGTATATCGTACTATCAACAGATACAACAACACTTCCTCTGTCGAAGATCAGAAAAGATCGGGGCGGCCGCGTGCTGTTAGAACTACAAAGGCTGTTAATGCTGTTAAAGCCAGAATTCGTCGAAACCCCATTAGGAAGCAAAAAATCTTATCACGAGAAATTAAAATTCCGAAATAAATATAATATTTCGGATAAAAACTAGTGGGTAAGCATATAAATAAAACAAACACGTGGGTGTCAAAAAAAATTGTACGACATATCTTGATATCGAAAGGGGCTCAATATAAAAACTGTAGAAATGTTTCCTAGAATTATTTCTTTATAGAAAAGTATTATCAAATTATATCGTATCGAGACTGCCTTCAAAAGCATTATACAAATGTCGCCTGCATAACGGGGCAAAAAGCTCCGTTTCATTCGTGTTAGTGCCGAAGCAGCTGTGAAATTACACGGTACGGAAGCAAAGAGCTCAGTTCTCAGAAATGGTAACGCATGACAGATATCATGAGCGTAGATGTAGATATGTATGACGTTGAAGTACGGAGTTGTTCATATCTATAGAATATATAATATCAATTGGCAATATTTCAATTATGTTACATTGAGATCGTGGCCATTTACGATTTTTTTATGCAACTTAGAATGGCAAACAAGTTGAGGGCCTACCTGATGGAAAGTGGTAACCGTCACTTATGAACATGGGCAATACCATGGCCATAACAGAGTATACTGTTTCGCCTATGATATCTCCCATGCGTTACCATTACCGAGGATTCAGGTGATATTTCTCTGTTAATATATAATATAAAATCCATGGTAGACTAAGACTTGTCAACGACAGTCCCCATGTTTTGTACAATTAGATTTTTTTAGTGATGTGTGCGAGCAGGCAGCTACTGTAACATCTTGTAAGTACAGTTGCCATTTTCCATGTGGTGCGTCGTGTGGTACTTCGTATAATGAAAGTAGAAATGATTTCTTAGCCTTTTATTACAAAAATCTCGACATTAAATTATATGTCACAAAAGAGTATATTGTGTGTGTGTGCGAGTCATCACTCTGTGTAGAATAATAGAAAGTTACATTATGCATGTACTGATAGATAGCCAAATATAAATGACAAAATAGTAGCACAGTTTTTTTTAACGTATGTATTTTCTTTTCTATGCTACATAGAGTGATAATTTTTAAGATCGATTTATACTGTGTTGCCAGTCTTAAATAAAGCACAAGGTAAAAGAGAAATGGAACCAGATGGAGAAGATCTATACACGATATGGGACTCGCATACAAAACACTACATAACACATAAGTTAACATAGATATAAGGATTTCTAGTATTAATCATAATGTAATTAATACAGTTTAAAAGTATTGTTGGCTATGAGAATAAGGAGGCTCTATTACGATTAATTATACTGAAATTAAAATTTAAAATTAGGATATTTTGTTTCCTGAAAAAATTGTATACGGAAGGGATGGCGATAACAGTCGACACGCAGAACTATATTATATTATCTATACAGCTACTAATACTTAAATATATTAACTTCAAATATTGAAGTTAAATTTTAATATACAATTATATATCTGGGGTAATCCAGAGCGTTCTTTAATAATTGTTCCGACACGCAATTATTTCTGTAGATCGAGGGATAGCGGTCGCTGCTATACAGAGCGAGCCCCGCGAGCACGACTTCGAATCTTGAAATATTTTCCGCTAGACGTGCGGCAGGCAGGCGGCCAGCGCGCGCTGCAGCGCCTGGCGCACGTCGGCGCGGCCCTCGCAGAACACGTGCGTGGCGTGCCGCTCCACGTGCACGAGCGTGTCGTGGCGCGGCAGGTGCACGATGCAGCCCTCGTCGCCGCCGCCGCCGCCGCCGCCGCCGCCGCCGCCGCCGCCGCCGCGCTCCACGCGCACCTCGGTGATGCCCTCCCGCGCCAGCGCGCGCACCAGCGCCTCGACGTCGAGCGCGCCCCAGTGCAGGCGCGGCGCGGCGGAGGTGGAGGTGGTGGCGGCGGCGGTAGCGGCGGCGGGCGCGGCGGGCGGCGCGCGCAGCTCGAGGCGGTTGTCGCGCAGGTGCAGCAGCGCGGCGAGCGGCGCGGCGCGCAGGCCGGGGCGCAGGTCGCGCGGCGCGGCGCGCGCGGCCAGCTCGCCGCACAGCTGGCCGCGCGCCGCGCGCCGCCGCACGCCGCACGCGCGCGCCGCGCCGCGCCGCACCACCACCGTCGGCACCTCCGCGCTCAGCTGCGCGCGCGCACCGCCCGCCGCGCCACCCGCGCCACCACCGCCCGCCGGCGGCGCGTACTGCTCGGGCAGCGCCAGCTCGCGCGGCCGCAGCTCGCGCACGAGCTTGTTGGCCTGCGAGTAGTTGAGCGACGTGTCGATGGGGCAGTGGAACGCCTTCATGCTCAGCGGCTGGAACGGCGCCAGCGCCTCCGTGTGCGGGAAATCGGGCTCTGCGGACAACACGAACGACATTATGATCGCGCCGCGCTCGCCGACCAGGTGGCGCGGCGAAGCCGGACCGAGTCTCACCTGTGAATATGATCGCGTGCGCCGGGTTGTTGGCCCACAGTTCGACTAGGTGCACGGCCGCCCCGAAACGCAGACTCGGGTGTCCGCAGAACACGACGCACGGCTGCGAAGTGAAAGAAAAACGTCACTAGTACACATTTTAATAATTGTTGTTGTAATAGTAAAACAAAGTGACAGAAAGAATAAGTACCTGACGAAAATCAGCACTAAAGGCATCGTCGTGTAGATTTCGTGCATGCTTGAGACGACCACTGCGGACTAGCGCCGCGTGGGGGAAAGGCTCCTCCGGTAGATACACGCGTGCCTGTGACACGATACAAATATATTATCTTATCGTTACGAGTAACCATAAAAAAGTAAACTCCATCGTTGAAATTAAACTCAATATTAAAGTTAACCCTTCTTTGCATAATGATGAAAATTCCCATCATAACATTGAATGCCCAAAAATTATATAAAGGATCAAGTTCATTTTAAATTGATCGTGTCTGAATACCTTTTTAATGTCCATTGCAGAAAAAAAAACATAGCTGTCAAATTGTTTTTAACCATTTTTCCTTTAATGTTGAAAATGAATAATGAAACCTTGATTTATTTCACTAATAAAAAAAAAAAAAAAACATGCAAAGAAGGATGTAAGAAACATGAAACCAATAAAAAAGAAACATGTAAGAACGCTCGTACCAAGTCACTCAGAAAGTATTGCAAGAAAAAGTTTTTAGTATGTGAAACTGGCCAGTTATAATTTATTTAAAAATATGATTACTTATAAGTAAAAATAGGTACGTTCTAAATTCAAAACTTCCCTCCACATTTTTTGCGAGCTAATTAAAATTACGGTGTCGCATTGAAAAATGGATTTGCGTCGAGAACATTTTCGCGCAATGATTTTTTACGATTTTAAGTACCGTCTGAAACTGGACGAATCGTACGATAGACTTCAAATGACATTCATGGATGAAGGCCCTTTTAAGGTAACCGTGTATCGTTGGTATAATGAATTTAAGTGCGGTCGACTAACTTTGGGGGATGAAGAAAGAAGTGGTCGCCATTTGACGTCTGTTACGGAAGAAAACGTGCTAGCAGTGAAAAATTTTATCCAAGACAATAGACGAGTTGAATCGACTTCGACGAATCTCTTGGTATGTACTAAGAGATTCAGTATATACTGCAGATTGGATCAGGAAGCCTTCACGAGATTCTACATGTGCATCTACGGGTGCGGAGGATAGTTTCACGCTGGGTGCCGCACAACCTCACCGATGTTCAAAAGCAGGCAAGGGTGGAATGGTGCCATGATATGATAGATAAATTTGATGCAGGTTCGTCTTGGCGTGTTTACGACATCGTAACAGGTGATGAATCTTGGATTTATTAATACGATCCGGAAACAAAGCGTCAGAAGGCGGTTTGAGTGTTTCACGGTTGGGTGCTACTTGGTGTCAATTCCTTTACGAAACCAAAGAAGCATTAACGCCGAATGGTGTACTACCAAATGCATGGCAGAAGTTTTCTCTGTTGTGAGCAACAAGTGACCAAACACAGGGCTCCGCGGGCTACTACTGCTCCACCACAATAATGCGCCCGCCCACACCGCAATCAAAACGAGGGACTTCCTAGACAGCACACCGGTCAAATTTCTGGGTCACCCTCCTTACCGCTCAGATCTAGTACCGTGTGACTTCTTCTTATTCCCAAAAATAAAAAATCAGCTCAAAGGGATACAATTTTCGGTGTCGGACGATGCGCTCTCAGCGTTCGAGCAGGCTGTAAACGAGGTGTATGCGGCGGACTGGAAAAAGTGTTTCGAAAATTTGTTCAGATGCATGAAACTTTGTATAGAGGCTGGTGGAGAGTACTTTGAAATGATGTAATAAAAATATATTTACCTATAGAATATTTTTTTTAATGTCGCAAAACTTTCTGAGGGTCCCATGTACTGAAAATCGATAAAGAGATTTTTTTTTAAGTTGAAACAAATCAGTGTGGTGGACCGTTTTGACTGTACACGTGTTTAAGTGAGAGGCGGGAGGAGGGGAGACTGGCCTGCTTGCCGATGGAGACCCACTCGGCGAGGATGTTGCTGTAGGCGAGCGAGGAGTCGGCGACGGGCGAGACGACGTAGAGCGGCACGTGCGCGAGCCCGGCGCCGTCCAGGTGCGCGGAGAGGCACTCGAGCAGGTCGTAGAGCACGCCGCTCGGGTAGACGGGGCACAGCACGCAGCCGCCGCCGCGCAGCGTGAGCGTGGCGTGCACGCACAGGTCGCCCAGCATGTGGTCGGGGTTGTGCGCCGGCGTCTGCGTGAGCGCCGCCAGCACGAGCAGGTCGGCGCCGCGCAGCGCCGCCTGGTTGATGGGGCGCGGGTGCGTGGTGAGCGTGCTGGAGCCGCTCACGTAGGCCACCTTCTCGTGCGCCGAGCGCAGCACCCAGTTGGCGGAGCCGAGGCAGAAGCCCGAGGACACGGCCGTGGCCGACAGCGCGCCGTACACGTCGACGCGCTCGTCGTAGCCCACGACGCGCACGCGCGCCAGCGAGCGCGCGACGGCGGCGGGCGCGAACAGGCGGCGCCAGGCGCGCGGCCGCGCCGCCAGCGCCAGCGGCGCCGGCAGCACGTGCAGCAGCTCCTTCCAGCGCCGCGCGCCGCCGCCGCCGCCGCCGCCGCCGCCCGCGCCCAGCCCCGCGCTCACCCACTCCGCCAGCTCCTCCAGGTAGAACCTGCCCGCCACACCCGCCGCGCCCACTCACACTTACACAACACAACTCACTTATCGCCATTATTATTGCCCCCATATAATTGCATACCAAAATAAAATTAAATAGTAACCTTTTTCTTTTGACAGCCACTTAAAAATAGCCAACAGTAACAAATAATGTTGATGACTACATTTTTTCAATTATGCAAAATTACAGGCTGTACAATTTGTTAACATCACCATTTTTCATTGTATTTTTTACCCATTCCTAAATGTGTAAATAATGAATTGGAGGACAATTGATTGGAGTACATAAATCTTAGAGCCACTGAAATTTTCATTGTATCGAAGCACTTTCCATACACTGATAACCCAATAGTTTATAAGCACAATTTGGTAGTTTTGTTTTTGGTCCTTATTTTGTATATTCATTAGCATTCTTTTTGTATTAAAAATCAACATAATTATGCTGTTTAATCTCTGTGAATGTTGAGTACAGCTATAATTGGATTGCAAACTTTTAATGCTACTGTTGTATTTTATTGGTGAAAATTTTGTTTGTAATCTGTTGATGTGCCACAGAAATAAATAAATTCAATCCCTTATAACCTATGTCATATGTAATGCAATAATGCCCTCTTTATTAATTACTACTTTTGTTTTAATTTGTAATCTTAGACTATTTTTATATATACAATAACGATGACACTAGTATATATATAAAAATAGAAAAATTTATATAAAACCCTAATCTTCAAACATATGAATGTCATATTAAATATCATAAAATATACAAGCCTTTATGTGTTAAGTACCTGCCAATTTGTAAAGTAGGCTCCGTGGCATACACCTGTCCCTTAAAACCAGTATCTTCTGTGATGAATGGAAGTGCCATCATGCACGTATAATTGGAGATGAGAATCACATCTAGTTGGGAAAAGTCCACAACCTTATCAAGCGGTGGGCAAAACTCCGGGATGCTGTCTACAAATACTCGGCCACAACATTCTTTTAGTTCCTGAAAAAAAAAAAAAAAATAAGAAATAAGAAGTATAATAGTAATAGATTTGTAGATAAAGCTAATAAAAAAAAAATGTTTTAAGTTTAAAAATATCAATAATTGTTTTGGAAATTGAATTTTAATATTTTTTCTTTTTTTCTAAAGAATAATTATATAAATAATGAGTGACCCCTTCGAGCAGTGGATCGTTGATATGTGGTGGTGTGTAGTTGGGCAGTGAGGCGAGGCGTGTGCTGGGTACGGGCGGCAGCGGCAGGAAGTTGAGCACTGAGTGTGCTGACAGCCCACAGTCCAGCATGATCAGCAGCTCCTTGAACGACAGCACGAAGCACGGCTTTGCCGCGTCGCTGCTTAGGCAGTACTGAGAACAACATGCCACACTGTTATACTATGGAAATATACACCATGTAAACAAATCATAGTTGTTTTAATATAATTATGATAAAGAAAAAAATTAGAATGGACAAATAATTGACTTTAACATTAGTATTAAATAAAAAAATGGGTAATTGTTTAAATGTTTTAATTTATTATAAATTTCATTAACAGTGATGTTATAATTTCAACTATGGTTACATTACATTAACTTCTTTCTAATGGACTAAAATGTCATAATCATATAGCACCGATTCCACGTATTATTATATTGTTATAGACTTACCAGTTTCATTTTTTGTTGGTGATCTTTTCTTAAATTTCCTAACCTAATGTTTTACGATAAACACATACTTTTTATTACAAACTTGCATTTAGTAATTAATCTAAGAAATTGGTAGCTATTTTAAAGTCATGCAAAATCACAAATATTAAAGATAGAATCAGTCAAATGTTTGTAGTTAATAAAAAATATATAAACAAATGCACTTGTAATTAAAAGATCGCCGGTCCATTGTCGACTGTATGACATATTTTGACAGACGAATGACAGTTTGTGGTGTTGCCAAGATCAAGTTAGTATCTTACTATTAAATAAATCATATCAGATATATTCATAATCTATGTTAAAATGCGAGTACAATATCATGTGCATTATCCTATAAATATTATTTACTGTTTTGTCTCCCATAGCAAAGATTTCGGAAGTACGCTAAATACTACGTTATACCATAGATTAAAGAGACCAGATCTAAAGCAAAGAGTAATCTTGTTCTTAGATTTAATGAAGTTATTAAATATAGAAGTTCTTATCTACATATTGGCTATATATAATGTGATATGTGATCTGAATTTGTTGAATTTTGCCCGTCTATTTTTCATTCCCTCCTGTCTTTGGCAGTCGTGTAAATATGACGGAAAATATTTTTGTAATTCAATTGCTATTAAAAAAAGTTCTAATATAATAATAATAAAAAAATAGTAAAGTGAAACATTGTATATTTTTTATGCAACTAAGAATGGTTGAAATGGTGAAGCTGAAGGTTCATCTGGTGGAGTTTCTTTTTTTTTTATGGGTGATAATGAAATAGTAACCCCACCCGCGCTATCGGTATACAATGGCGGGGCACCAGTGAAGGATGATAGATGAAGATGAAGCAGGTCTATAGTCCATGGAATTTAGCCCATCGTGACGAATTCAACAAGAATTGTTCACGTTGATTTCCAGAGGAAATCTCTTGGAGATCGACCTGATAGGGCATATTGCTAGCAATGGGGCTGTCAGACTCTATTGCTAACAATCCCTTTCCCCCCTATCTGGTGGAGTTCATCTCACATGTAGGAGAAAAAAAAAACTTGTTATTAATAAAATGTTGGGGTTGAGATGAATGACGGATGACATGAATGGTGCAATGAGATGGCAGAAAGTGAAACAAACTCGTTAACGTTAAGTGTACTTCAAATCTTATATAATGAAAATTCTGGTTTTAACTAATTACAATATCCTTTTATAATATTTTTTAAATGCTGATATGAAACATGTATAAGGTTAGAAGGTTATTTAAATTCCACGCATTCCAACATGTATCATGGAACATGCCTTATCACTTTGGTTTCTATTTTTTATTTATTTATAACCACTGATATCTCACTAGAGAACACAAAATTTATATAAAACTTCAAGATGTCCGCGTTTTATGAACTAGCACTGAACGCAAAGTCCAACGGTAATGAATTGTTTATTATACAAATAAAGAACAATAGAATATTACATAGTTATTGTACGATTCTGTTTCTCTAATACTTGTTTAAATAATTAAACCGTGAATCCGAGGCTAAATTGAGCGGCCGGCATCTCGCGGTTATAATGTAATATCGTTTGTCACACACCGCGTGCAATTAATCAAAAGTAATTAATTCAGCGAGGATGCTAATACGGCAGCCGGGATCATTAATTAGCGCCGCTAACGAACACCCCCCGAGCACTGGTCTGCTCGACAGCCGAGCTCGCCGGCTGCTCTTCTGTTCCATGTATCTATTTATGTGTTAAGGAGCGAAGGGGAAAGTGTTTGTTAATAATGAGGACTAATAGCCCCATTGCTAGCAATATACCCTGTCAGGTCGACCTCAACGCGGTCACCGCTGGAAACTATTCGTCCTGTCTCCATTCTCACTCACCCATCACCCGTCACTGGTACTCCGCCGCTCTGTCAACGTAACTCGATAGCCCAGACGGAATTGCAATACCATTCAGTTTGTTAAAAAAGCTATGTAACAAGAATGTCAATAATTGTATTTTTCCTTTACAAATGTTAAATAATCTGTAAAGCTTTTTTTTTCTAGTATTTTATAGCTGACTTTTCTTTTTTGCTCTAGCTTTTGAGACAATTCGCCATAATAATATAATATTGGCTGTGTGGTCCCGGCATAGAATAGGCCACCTCTTTTTTTCCGTGAGTATCGTAAGAGGCGACTAAGGGAGAGCGAAGGGTGGACAGCAGCGTCCTCCTTAAAACATCACCAAAGCCTAATAACGGTTGCCAATCCGCCTGCCAAGCATAGCAACTACTAACAAAAAAAGAGTCGTGGGTAAGTAGTTGTTCATGGCTAGTAAATTCAATTTGTTCCTCAAAAGTATATTTGACACCGCGCGCCTTCGGAAAATAATCGGATCGTATTTTACCGCTAAGTTTCAGATTTGGTTAAGCCCCATATTTGAATAGCTGAGAAAATCTTATTGCTTTATATATAACCGAAGGTGCCTATTGTGAAATTGTGATATGTGTTAGCACTCAGTAAGGGAATATGTACCTGATTAACGATGCTGTTTACAAATTGTTTACAATTTATGACAAACGGCGTCTTTTTTTTTGCTTTGAACGCGCAAACTTGTGTCTTCTTAGGATTAAATTGGACAAGATTTTGTTCATCCCAGATCGAAACTTGATGGAGTGAAGTTTCGATTTCAGACACAAGTCTATTCCGGTACACATCGGTGCTAATGCTTAGCTATGAAATGGCCTGAAATGGTACCAGTACCGGTGAGGCATAATAGGTGAAGATGAAACAGCAGGTCAGTTTGCCCATCCTGATGAATTTACCTGAAATTAAGCACGATGGCTTTTAGGGAGGACCGCGAGGAGGTCATCCTTACAGGGAATAATTCCAGCAATGGTCTTGCAAGTCTCTATTACTAACAGTTTCTAACTCCCCCTTACATTAAGTTACACGTTAAGTTACAATTCTTTGGTATGGCAGTAAAATTACAGGGTGACAATGCGTTAGTTCTCAGGAAAGAGTCAGCCTACTGGCTTCATGTGTATTGCAAGATTTTTATGGTGCTGTTAGTGTTTATTTTTTTATGCAACTTAGAATGGCAAAGAAGCTGACGGCCCACCTGATGGAAAGTGATAACCGTCGCCTATAGGCATGAGCAGTACAATGGACATAACAGAGTATATTGTTTCGCCCATGATATCCCTCATGCGTTGCCATTCCTGAGGACTCAGGTGCTATATCTCTGTACCCTGTAAATTCACGCCATATCCCACCCTTCAAATCGAAACATAGCCATGCAAACAACTTCTTTACGGTTGAAACACGAATGGGACAGAGGTACCCAAGCAAACGACTTTTGTACAAAGTCTCCCTCTGGTAAAGTTTATAGGTGACGGTCACAACTTTCCATCATTACTTTATTTGCCATTTTTAGTTGTATAGAGAAGTAATATTTGTAAATCGTGTTACATACTTTGAATAGCGTTTTGCTCGTATCATGTTATAATATTGTATATAGGTAGATGTGTAGGGGCTTGTTATCTTTGTTCGTGCCCATTTACATGTTAAAGATCACAGTAGTATTGAACCCTGATACATCAGCGAGGGAGGCAAGTGGGTCAGAGTGCAAACTTTGTACATTTAGCATTTAGCTGTGGGGTGAACGGTATTGGGGGTGAGTGGAGCCGGCAGCGGGGCGAAGAAGCCGAATGAAACAAGCGCCCCGTGTGAAATATTGTGCGTTGTACCCACTTACAAGTTAGGTGAGTTTTCGTTATTACACTTTGCAGTTTCCTTACAACGTGTTATTCCGCCGGCTCGTGTCACGTGTCGGAATATTCTTGTGCGGTTTCATCTATACCACTACATACACAAGTATACACAAAAGATTCACTTGCTTCCACTTGCTCCCATTCTTATTATGAACAAATAAAAATTATTAAAGACAATAAACTGACGCATAATCTGGAATCTATACGACTTGATGCTCGTCGAGTCAAACGCAGCTAAAAACAATTCAGTTTTCGGACAAAAAACCGTATTGAAATCGTTTTATTCGTTCGGGGAATACCTAGCTACGATACCGAAAACATCCGGCAAACAAAGTTTCCAACTCAGAACAACCCTCATGTTACGCCGGGATTAAAAATATCCTCTGTTGGATGATTAGGACGAAGTTAACATAAGAAGTTGAACGATTAAAAAACGTTTACAAAATAAGTCTGACCAATTAATCGATGGTTTTTTTTATTATTCGTAAATGTTGTGTGACTTCTGTAGACTTGTAGATACCTATACCACTATTATCTGTACAAGTAGCATGCGTCGTACTTATTATTATTTCTGCAGTGGTATTATATATTTGAAGCAGCAAAATGTGGTTTTTATGTTACGTATTGATGTAAGATGAGAGTAAAATGTAATGTCAGAGGCACGAGGGAGACGGTGGTGACTGGCATATACTGGGATATTTATGGTGTTTATGAGCAATGAATGAAATAAGTGGATCCTCAGTCTGTTTGCTGCTTCCGTTCAATAGTCTAAAAACAATGTGTGTTTTGTTGCAACCTCCAGCTACTTGCCAACTACGGAGTGCTAAGTGTCCATTTGTTTTCACGCTATATTGTGAGCAAGTTGTAATTGATGGTGGAAGTTTCCTTCTCTGTTCTCTTAAATAATTCTCTCAGAGGCGGATAAACACAAATATAAACAATAGAAATGTTGTGACTTGTATGCCCTCCTGATAATATTACATATACCTATACGAGTATTATTAATATATATATATATATATATATATATTTTATTTAAGTGTTTCTTCTTGTCGAAACAACTAATTTATTCATGTATTCTCTTCCAGTCAGCTCTACTTCAGGCCATATCTTTGACCTCTCTATACGACATGACAAAGTTTCGCAAAAGCAAAAGACGAGAGCAAAAGACCGAGAAATAAAAATAGAGGTATTTTTCCTTTCAGTATGCTCATTAAAAAATCATGTCGTATAAGGTGGTCCAGCATGTTGCCTCTTCTCTTCTCTATTGTTTTTAATAAATATTAATGTTTTTTTCTTATTCACTCTTTTCAAGACTTGCTCTTTCGTTACTTTTTCTGTCCAGTTTAATCCTTTCAATTTCCTCCATGTTCCAATCAAAACACGTGAGTTTGTAAGCAGCACTTATTTTGGAAGCAAGCAACTCATGTACGAGTAGGTAAGACATTATCTGATTCGTTACCGTACGACATGAGCTGCCAACCACAATACAATGAACATCACAAAGTACGTATCGTATCTCTGTTTTATTACCTTTAGATAATAATAGATATTCACTTGTTGAGATGGAATAACGTTTAGCATATACAAATATAGTTGGTCCTAAACAGGCGTAGGTATACAATATAGTCTAGACGTTTTACTGGTTTCCGTTGTTTACGGAAATCTTATGTATCGACTCAGAGTATTCGCTCTACTTTTTAATACAAATACGAACGACAATTCTATACTAATCTGAGATCGTATCGAAAAAATAGAAATAGTAGGAATGGTAGTAAATTCATAAGAATAGTAAATTCCTATGAAGAAATATGTTTCTTCATAGGAATTTACTATTCTTATGAAGAACTCGTAAGTTACAATTAGTAAGAAATAAAATATATTGGAAGGGAGGAAGACCAGACCAAAGGGAGACTTTGTACAAAAGTCGATTGCTTGGGTACCTCTGTCCCATTGGTGTTTCAACCGTGAAGCAGTTGTGTTTGCATGGCACTGTTTCGGTTTGAAGGGTGGGATATGGCGTAAATTTACTGGGTACAGAGGAATAACACCTGAGTCCTCAGGAATGGCAACGCATGGGGGGTATCATGGGCGAAACAGTATACTCTGTTATGTCCATGGTACTGCTCATGTCTATAGGCGATGGTTACCACTTTCCATCAAGTGGACCATCAGCTTGTTTGCCATTATAAGTTGTATAAAAAAAAAAGAATGCCATAACTCTCTGGTGCAACAAAAACAAGAGCAGTTAATATTCGTTTGTCTAGTTTTTGTTGTACACAACCTCATCAATGTTTGCAATTTAACGGCAGAACGTATATTTGCTGCGACAAAATGGCTTAATAAGGACGATTGACAATATTCATGTATGTCTTCAGAATACAATGAAATTAATTTCCTTTCTTTTCGCCTGTGTCAGTTACGGGGCTTATATATATATATACATCACTTCCAGGAACTTTGACAAATCTAATATGAATGCTACGAGTACAACATCACTGGAGTAATAACATCAAGGAAGAAGGTTTGTCTTTTGTTGCACGATTGCAGTTTTTCTAGTGACTACACTATCAATGTAGCTATATATGTAGATATAAGACTCCTCTTTCTTTCCCGTGGGTGTTGTGTGAGGCGACTAAGGGAGCTTAATAGTTGAGGGATGGGCAGCAGGCTCCCTCTTAAAACATCACCAAAACTGCGGTCGACACCCCGCCTGCCAAGCGTGGCAACTTCTGGCAAAACCTTCTTTATGGGGGAGGCATATGTTCAGCAGTGGACAGTTAAAGGCTGACATGATGATGATGATACAATTAAATAATCGCTGGATACCTCATTCAGTATATACCATTCTAAAGAGAGTATTCTTTATTTGTTGCCTTAAAATATGAAATAACAAGAGACTGCATAAATTATATTAAACGAATGATCTGCGCCGGCATTATTACCTAGCGATTTAACGAGGCTAATGAATTATTATCGGTCACATTTGTAATTAAGTCATCGGTGAAAGACATATCACGTTCGCTTGACCCCTGCTGGCGACCCGTATTGTTGGGCGCGGCGACAGCGCAGTTGCCATTCGCAGCCCGTGACAGTGTCTGCTGCCATGTCGCAGAATAAGTTTACACGGAAAGAAATCGAGGGTCGGAACCGTAGAGGGGACGCCGCATTTGTGATCGACAATGTGGTGTACGACGTGACGCGATTCCTTCAGGAGCACCCGGGGGGCGCGGAGGTGCTGCTCGACCACGCGGGGGGCGACGCCTCGCGGGGCTTCCACGACGTGGGACACAGCGAGGAGGCGCGCCAGCTCATGGCGCAGTACGCGGTGGGCGAGGTGGTGCAGCACAACCGGCGGCGCGGCGGCGTGGCGTCCACCGACGAGGCCTCCGCCAGCGACGAGGGCGCGCGCACTGCCAGCCTGCTGGCGACGCTCGGCCCGCCGCTCGCTCTCGCCGCCGTCGCCATACTCCTCTACTTGTTTCTCCTGTAGAACTCTACTGCAATAGTCTCCATTGTGACTGTACTCGTATCTAAAAACGTTACAACTATTTAGTAATAGCCAATTTAGTTAGGGAAAGTTACCTTACTAGAATATTCATTAAACGAATGATGTGCCGTATTTGTGCATATATTGTTTTATTTTTTTTTAAGTTTTCCTCAACAGATACAGCAACACTGCGGCAGTGGAGATTAGGTACGATGTTGAAGTTAATAAGGAAAATGTATTCCAAAATAAAACTCGTCAATAGTAATAATTTTGTAGTATTTTTTGTAGTAATCAGTGTTTTGCTCTTTTAAGTGCAAAGCAATAAACTGAGCTGTGACCATTTTGTGTTACTATGGCACACGCATGAAGGAAAGGATAGAAAGGGAATTGTTAGTTTATATATTTTGTTTTTTTTTTTTGTTGCTTTTTATTTTCATTCTTTTATCTCTTTTTACTGTGTATTATGTGTATATTTTTTTTATTGTAATTCGTGTCCTGTAAGTAATGTAAATAAATTATCTATCTATCTAGTTACCAACTTCTATACGATGTTTTATACAAATACTTAATGATGTCACTTTGATTAGCGTGATATATTTTTTACGGTTATCAGGTGCTTTGTAATACTTATGTAGTATTTTTACTTACTAATCTATAGATAACATTCAATACGTTTATACTCGTAGGTAATTACTAAGATTCAGTTTAGACAGTAAATAGTTGTAAACAAATTCTGATTGCATAACGTCAATAAATATATATATAAATGAATAACGCTTTGTGTCTTAGTGTACATTCCAGAACAATAGATTGTAAATATAAATTCCCATAATGCATAATCCATGTGTGTATATGTGTGTGAGTAATTCAAAAGTAAAATTATAGAATACATGTCAGCTTAAAGTGCATGTCATCATTGATAAACGGCGGAGATCAGTATCGTTATCGGGTGCGCGGGCGGCGGCGCGGCGCGGCGCGGCGCGGCGTGGTGGGGACAACCTGCCGGCTCGGAGCGGCCGTGGCCCGTCCGCGCACTGGCAGCTAGTGATCGCCCGCCGAGTGAAGAGCCCGCCCGTGACCACTACGCAACATGGCCCAGAGGAAGTTCACCAGGAAGGAGATCGCCGAGCGAAACAACAAAAACGATGCCGTGTTCATCATCGACAATAACGTGTTCGATGTCACTAAGTTCTTAGACGAGCATCCCGGCGGCCACGAGGTACTGCTCGGCGTAGCCGGCAAGGATGCCACCGAGGACTTCAACGACGTCGGCCACAGCCTCGACGCTAAAGAGCTGATGGTCAAGTACAAAATCGGTACACTAGTAGACGAAGACAGGGTGGAGGTGAAGAAGCAATCGGTGACTTGGACGGTGAAGGACGAGGGCGAAAAGGAGAGCAGTTTCGTGAGCTCGTGGAAGTTCCCGGTGTTGCTGGGCATCCTGGTGACCGTCCTTTACACGTACCTGTTCAGTTAGAGAGGCCACGAGGGTGCAGCACCGAGTAACGGTCATTTAGTGCGGACCTTGTTCTCGACGAATTGCGCAATAAAACTGTTACGACGGCCTAGACCTTCGACCTGTGTTAAATATTTTATTAACAATTCGAACTGTCCGTGTGTCCGGCGCGTGTGAGACGTATAATCCTGTTAGTGTGTGTTTCTACTGTTCTCACTAGCTAGAATATAAAACGGGTGTACATTGACGTTATTGAATTGTGAGGTTTATATGCGAATAAAAATCTTATATCTGTGTGATAGTAATTAATAAATTATTTTTGTTACGTACTTGCGTAATCATTTGAGTACAATATAGACTGCCGAATAGTTAAACGGACTGGAAGGCAGTCTGCTGATGTCTCATAGTACCTATTGATTCCTTGTTTCGATTTCCTATTAATTTCATGTACAATGTTTCTGTTATAATTCCTATAAACTTGGTTACTTTTTCCTTATAGATCTCTTTTCTAGACAGACTAGATATTCCTAGTCTTTTTCATTTTAATTTGAAATTAGTACGGTTTGTGTCATATATGCATATGTCCGATGAATATTGTTCATAGGAGGCGCACGCATCATATCACCTGGGTACGAGTATATAGTTGCACTGCGATGCACGCCGCGTCCACAGTTAGTAAGAACCGGTATTGCCACTTCAACGAGTTGCACAATTATTTCCACATTACGTTTGGTATTGACTAACAGGTGCACGGTTTAATAACCAAATACATACAGGGCTAAATATACAAAAGTGATAAATAACGTGTGATGAGATTTATTTACATCCAACTCAAAACTCTGTATGATAAATAAATAAGTTCGCTGTTCACGTGTCCTACTGCCGAAAAATTCCGAGTGGAAAACGTTTGATGCAAATCTTACTAACATAATAAAATTGTAACCAAACGATGTCTGTTCACGATAGATATTTTAGAAAATGTAATAGAAGGTGACTTAATAAGACCAATCCCTATTAAACGTCTGTCAAAAAATAAACAAATAAATTGTCTGCCTGTCTGTCCGTCTGTATGTTGTTTCTGGCGTTACGTTATTTATTTGATTTTCTCACTTTTGAAATCCACATGTACGAAGTAGCGAATATAATGTATTTAAGAAAATTTTATATAAGGGTCATTATACGACCAACAGGGGTCAAAACAATAATTTTATAAAAATGGTCTGTATGTTTGTAGCGACATCATGCTGAAAATACTGCATCAAATTGGATGGGGTTGTTATCGTTGTATCCTTGAAGAACTAATTAAAAATGTGGTGTATGTTTTTCTGCTAGTGATGCGCCTGAACATTCTTGAAACGCCATCTACAAGTAGTCCTTTTCATTGGTTTCCTTATTCTGAAATCTACACGTACGAAGCCGCGGGCGGGATGCAAGTAGTAAATATAATGTGATTTTAATCATATTATTGTTATGGGATTTAAATCTTATTAATATTATTCCTACTAAATTACACATAATGTATTATTGTACTGATGATTTACTGGGTGAGCGTATTGGGAGACTGTTAATCTCGTCCAGTTGATGAAATAATTCAATAAAAATAAAATAAATAATTTTTTAATAGATTAAGGTGAAAAATATTATAAATTCAGTTATTATAATAGTCCGTAAAATAGTAATTCCACGAAATTATCAAATAAAAATATTATGTCTTTAGTTTTTTTTAATGGATGATAATGGAATGGCAACCTCGCCTGCGCTGCTGGGGAACCAGTGAAGAGTGATAGGTGAGAATCAAAAGACTAACTGATCTGCAGTTATCCCACCTTGACAAATTTAACAATAAATCAATCACGATGGTTTCCAGAGGGAACCACGAGGAGGTTGACCTGATAGAGTATATTGTTACCAATGAGGTTTTTAATTCCTTCTCCCCCATTAGGTCTTCAGTTAGGTTTAGAGAAATAGCGCCTTAGAATCGACCCCATTATGTTTTAAAACATAAAGTTGCGAGTTTATATGCCATTACAAGTTGCAATACATAAAACTAGAATGAAATGTAATGCAATATCTTTAGATGACCCTGGGACATATCAAATATTTTTTTTAAATAGTAATTATAATTTTGAATGATGTCTCTTATGAAAATGTGCTTTATGTTTGAGATACTTCGTAACGGCCCTGATGTAAATTTTACTTGTAAAAATGATGTAAGATTAGGGTTGCCAGTTGCCAACATTAGAAGGAACCGACCCGGAAAGATTTTAACAAATTGGGGACAGGCCAGTGGTGTTTAGAATCTCAAATATTTGATATTTTTATATTATTATTGCTTTTGAGCAGCATCTAATATTTGGCGGTTGGTTTTTCACCATCATCAAATCATCAAATCAATTAAAATAAGTTTAATTTTAGAAAAAGTCGTAAGAAATTATTGCGTCGAGTAATTCGTCGTCGAGTAATTTGGATGTTAACCATTATTTACGGAGTCCCCCGGCCATTCCGGGAGGATTGTTGTACAATTGATATTCTTAAAAGTGAATTGGTTTTTGATGATCCTGGATCTATCGTCACTTGCCATCAGGTAAAGTAAAATCAAGAGCAAACCCATCAAACATACTAAATAAAATAAAAAATAATAACTAACAAAATAAAAAGTTTATGTTAGGTCAAATCAAGCAGCGTCTATTTATCCTTATGAAATTTGAACAGTTGTCTCAGGTAAGGCATTCTGTAACCTTTGAATTTATAATTTGGAGCTCAAAATACTCTTGTACAATTAATAAAATTACTTTAACAGCCTTACTACAGCTTAGATAGGTAGATAGATAGATAGATAATTTATTTGCATTACTTACAGCACACAAATTACAACATATATAGATATACATAAAAAAGCGCGATAACATAAATGATTAAAAAAATACATAAAGCTAAATACAATTTTTCCTTTTGTGCGTCACTTACGAGTTATCAAGAACTCTTTTAACCCGTTTTTACAGTTTTATTATGCTACATGGAATATATTTTAGTTGCTTTTTGATACCACTTCGATTGATTACACCAGATAGTTCACAGTACTGTCGATTATATTAACTACGTAATATGCCACGTGTGGCTGTAGTTTGTAATTAAATATATACATATACATATTAACTATGTGTTAGAGCAGTGCACTGTGATACGACATTGTTGCGACGTTTGTACCCTCTTGCTCGGGCCTCGTTCGGTATCTACTTTCATTGCACACACCGATACATAAACAATATTGTTATCAACAGCTGATAGCGAACGATGAATGTTCTAGAATGGGTGATTAACACATTTTTAAGTAATTTAATAGCTTATATATTATATGTAGTTATAATAAAAGTCATTGTAATGACTTTGTTGTTACATTTATTTATTTACTCTTTAACGTACCACTTACTAGTGGGAGACTGTACAAAAGTCGTTTGTTTCTATACCTCTATCCCATTCGTGTTTCTACCGTGATGCAGTTATGTTTCCATGGCTGTGTTTTGTTTTGTAAGGTGAATTTACGGGGTACAGAGACGTAACATCTTAGTCCTTAAAAATAGCAATACAACGCATTGGGGGTATCATGGGCGAATACTGATACTGTTCATGTTTATGGTCCCGGCATAGAATGGGCCACTCCTTCCTTTCCTGTGGGTGTTGTAAGAGGCGACTAAGGGAGGGCGAGCAATGGGCAGTAGCGTCCCTCTGAAAACATCTCTAAAGTCTAACTGTATTCGCCCCTAAGGAGGAGGCTTACGTTCAGGAGTAGACACTTAAAGGCTGATATGATAATGCTATGTACAAGGCGGACTTAATGCTAAAAGCATTATCTCCTAGTTAACCTTGGGAGGTGATAGAATGCTCGAACGTGGTGTTGATATCAATTGATATATATACGTATTAAAATTTACATTTACCAGAGGGAGACTTTGTACAAAAGTCGATTGCTTGGGTACCTCTGTCCCATTCGTGTTTCAACCGTGAAGCAGTAGTGTTTGCATGGCTGTGTTTCGGTTTGAAGGGTGGGATATGGCGTGAATTTACTGGGTACAGAGGAATAACACCTGAGTCCTCAGGAATGGCAACGCATGGGGGGTATCATGAGCGAAACAGTATACTCTGTTATGTCCATGGTACTGCTCATGTCTATAGGCGACGGTTACCACTTTCCATCAGGTGGGCCGTCAGCTTGTTTGCCATTCTATGTTATATAAAAAATAAAAAATAAAACATAAATACACTAATAAATATATATAAATAATAAATATACTTACACATATATAAGATATACTATATTATGTACGCAGTAAGAGTATAAAGACATACAATAGTTCAAGGCAAGTGATAAAGTTTATTTCACATTATTCATTATATCAGATACCGATGGGACTGGTAAATTAGTATTTGTTTATACCACTGAGGTGGCATTATGCATACGCCCCATCTGATGGTAAGCGGTTACTGTAGCCTACGAACACCAGCAGTACAAATATTTGTAGTATGAAATATCTCTGAAACCGCGCTGTACGCGATCTAGGTTCTAAGGCATGAAGGTGAACTCCCTGTTTATGGCGAGCTGTACGATGGTAGAAAGTAGCTGTGGGCATCATATTGAACAATTCTTCTGAGCACAATTCGTTGTACAAGCAATAGAACACGCAGAGTGGGATAAAATCACCTCTAAGAAAGGTTGAATATTGCTTGTAAGAATGGAATCATCGACAATTCTTATAGTTGGTATGAAAGAAATTTCTACAATAACTATTAACAATAACAAGTAACAGCTAAATCAATATCCGCGACTGGAACACCTGAATCAACCAACTGCTTGATACGTGCCAGGAATTCTGTCAGTTTGTAATGCGTTGTTACAAATGGGAAGGTCTTGCGTATTACTAAATACGTGATACTATATAATTTGAGGTTTTGTTTGGGTGAAGATGGATATGTAATCATGCCTGCGCTATCGGCATACGCTGGCGGGCCACCAGTGAAGGGTGACAGGTGAGGATGAAGGCAGGTCAGTTGTCCCATAGTGACCGATTGAACAAGAATTAACCACTATGGTTTTTTCAGGGAGAACCGCGTGGAGGTCGACCTGATAGGGTATATTGCTAGCAACGGGGTTGTTAAATCTCATTATTAACAATCCCTATAATTTTTTTTTGAAGGGTGAAAATGGAATGGTAACTCCGTTTGCGCTAACGGGATACGCTGGCGGAGCACCAGTGAAGGGTGATAGATGAGAATGAAAACAGGCCAGTTAGCCCATCATGATGAATTCATCAGGAATTAACCATGATAGTTT